TGACTTGTCCATACAATGAAAATATTAGTTGTTAATAAAGTATAAACATGAATGGACCTTGAAAACATTATACTAGGCGAAATAAACCGGAGATGAAAAGACACATATCATAATAGGATCATAACACATCATAATGTGTTAGTAGTTAGTGCCAGTTTGGGAGGTTGGCAGAAGAAGAGAGTCATGCCTACTATCTTGAGGCTTCTTTGAGAGTTGATCAAAACATTCAAGAACTAGATACGGTAAGGAGTGTACAGTACTGTGAATAGGTTATTTACAATGTTCAAAATGTAAATTAATCAATTTTACCATAATTTTTGAAAACACAAAATTAAGCTAGTTTTTCAAAAGACAACTATAGCATGAGAATCACTGAATTAAATACCTTCAGAGACATGGGAAGAACAGTAGACAAGATAAAGAAGGATAGAGAGGGAATGTGGCAACCTGGATATTCAAAATCAAATGTTTTTGAAAACTCTCTAGGCCAAAAAATATGGCTTTGGCCTGTGGTTTCCAACCTCTGCTAGAAAATGGAGCTGAGCTTCAGTCAGCTTTGCAGCACAGTGAGCTAAGCTAATGTCTGCTTGTTACCTATACTGAAACAAGCGTTTATATCCCTGGTACTCATTTTACCATCCATGATCCTGCTAATGGACATGGGAAGTTGGAACATCACACAAGTGCACAGGTCCCTGTCACTCATTTGAGAGACTCAAATGGAGTTCTGGGATCCTGGCTTAGATCTGGGCAAGTCCTGGCTGTGTAGCCATTTGAGGAGTAAAACAACAGATGACAGATTTCTTTTCTCCTTATTCCTCTTCCTCTGTTTCTCTTCCTCTCCATTTTCCTTTCAAATAAAATCAAGGGAAAAAATGAACTAAGCAACTTAAAAATTTATGAGCATAAATAACAAACTTTTTACCCTGTATTTTCACCATGTATCACAATAGATAGCCAACCCATGTACCCAGAGGTACAGAGAGACCCACACAGAGAGGTCTTTCATGCTCTGATTCACTCCCCCAATGGTAGTAGCAGCCAGAGCTAAGCTGGTCAGGAGCCAGGAACTTCTAGGTCTCCCATGTGGGTGCAGCATCCCAAGCACTTGGGCCACCATCTGTTTCTTTCCCAGGCCATAAGCAGGGAAATGGATCAGAAGTGGAGCAGCCAAGATATGAACCGGTGCCCATATGGGGCCAGCTTCACAGGTGAGGCTTAGCCTACTAGACCACGTCACCAGGCCCAATACATTTATTTTAATACAAAAAGTTGAAAGTATATATATGAAGGGTAGTCCAAAAAAATCTCTTTTTTTAAAGATTTATTTTATTTTTATTGGAAAGGCGGATATACAGAGAGGAGAGACAGAGAGAAAGATCTTCCATCCAATGATTCACTCCCTAAGTGAGCGCAACAGCTGGTGCTATGCCGATCCGAAGCCAGGAGCCTCCTCCGGGTCTCCCACACCGGGTGCAGGGTCCCAAAGCTTTGGGCCGTCCTCGACTGCTTTCCCGGGCCACAGGCAGGGAGCTGGAAGGGAAGCGGGGCTGCCGGGATTAGAACCGGCGCCCATATGGGATCCCGGGCGTGCAAAGCGAAGACCTTATCCACTTGCGCCACCGCGCCAGGCCCCCAAAAAAGTCTTATGGGAAATATGTATTATGAAAATTCTGTGCATGGATTGTAAAAATCTTTAGCCAAGGAAATTATTTCATTTTTTGCAAACTTTGTGAAGTACCCCTTTAGATGCTCACCAAGTATTATTGGAGGAGAAGTTTAGCTGTCTGTTTTCTTAATATCTATCAAATATGTTGTCTTCTGTTTTATATATTTATACACACACACACACACATATATATATATATAAATTTTAAAAGTCCTCAGTGCCATACTTGAAACCCTTTAGTGATTTCAGGTAAAGTCTATACCACATCATGTGATGAGAAAGACATCCATAATGTGGCCCCTTTCACATCTGCTGCTGCTTTTCTTCATGTCCTTGGAACTCCAACCTCTCTAAACTTCCCACGGTTACTCAGCATGGTACCTGTTTCACATACTCCTCTTTACACTTGCCGGGAGCATCTGCCTGTTCCTCTGTATATTTGTCCGTACCTCACAAATGTTTCTTGGAGGAACCCACATATGTGCAATCCACTCTGAGCTTGTGTGTCTCTGTGTTCACTCCTGTTTGTACCCCAGCACTTTGCATTTTTTTCTCTGCGTTTGCCTCACTGGTTTATCACTGTGCTGTTTGGTTCACCTCTCCCTGCCCCCCATCATATTGCTAATTCCTTGAAACTGGGCACTAAAGCTGTCTCCCATGCCTAGCACATGGCAGATGCCCAACAAACGTAACCTTTATCACTGTTACAAGTGATTTATGTGTGATAACAAACTTTGAATGAGGATAGTTAAAAGGCAGTGTAAGTCCTGTAAGATATGCCAAGCAAGAATTCAATTTGAAGTTTTCATGCAATAGAAATTAGGGATGTAGATTAACTTTTGAAAAGTAAGCTGTATTCAGTTGCCCAACAGTCATTTAGTAATAACTGTGTGAGGGAATGCTATGCATTGCTTCAAGACTATCCAGACCTTGTGTAGTACCTATTGAGTATTCTTAGAAACACAAATGTTTTCCAGAAGCATTTTGAATTTTGTTTTCTTTTGTGATTCATATGAAGCAAATCACCTCAAAAATGTACCTAAAGGTGGACTCATTTTTTTCAATGAACCTTAGTTAGAGACAGAGAAGATTGTGGCCAGGTTTTGTGAGAGCTCTTACTGGTTTTAGAAGAGAGAGGGGAAAAAAAGGTTAAGGCCCTAAATCTCATTTCTGGCTTTCTAAATGGCTTGACAAATTAATTTGAAAGTGAAATGGTAAGACATAAGGAACAAGCAGCAGGTTAATTCTTGGACTCTGTTTGTACTTGTTAGGGCATTTTTAGAGCTCTTTTAATTATAACTTATAAATCTTAATCAAGCTATATTAAGAAGCTAAATAGAAGGTTATGATCTTGCTCCACCACCATTTTCATACTGTAAGAGACTAAAATAAACACATCTACATTGCAGTGAGAGTAAAAATAAACACTTTAGAGTCATGTAATTGAGAAATACATTTTAAGTAGGAAGTTCTGGTTAAGATTGTAGTTTTAAAAAACACAAAGGTTACTGTGGTTTTGTTCCCTTCTGTGAAGCTTTTTTTCTTTTTAAATTATGAGAGTGCTGACATGTTTATTCTGGAGTACTGCAACATGAATGTTGAGGGTTGTTTCTAAACCAGTGCTTAATTTGATGAAGATTTTTTTTAAGTATATGTTTTATGTATTTGAGATATGAAGTTACGGAGAGAGAAGGAAGGACAGAATCTTCCTTTTGCTGCTTCACTCCCCAGATGACCGCAAGAACCAGGGCCAGACCTGGCCAATGCCAGGAGTCCAGAAGTTCTGGGTCTCCCACCTGGGTGGAGGGGTCCAAGCAACTGGGTCATCTAGTGCTGCTTTTCCAGAAACATCAGCAAAGAGCTTGATAGGAAGTCAGGCAGCTAGGACTCAAGCCAGCACCCATATGGGATGCTGGTGTTGTGGATGCTGTAGGCCCTGTCCATCCTCTAGTTCACACAAGCTGAGAGGATGTTTCCCTCTCATGATGTTCTGAAGGAACAGGGTAAAGTATGCCCTGAAAGGAGCTGACATAAGGAATACTGACATGCAGCAGTGCATGAGTATTGACGGCAACCTCAAGAGGAGAAAGATGTTTGTTGGCAGGACAAAGGAAAAGCCCTGGTATATTAACACATATAGTGTTGCCCAGTAATATGAAGGAATGAGTTGCCAATAAATATAGTGACATGAGTGAATACCAAAAACATGTATATAGAAGGTACCTTATACAAAATAGTGCATACTGTTGGTACCATTTGTATAGAGTCGCAAAACAGGCAAAAGTAATCTTCAGTGGAAAAAAAGTGAGAATCATGGTTGCCTTTGGTTGGTGCAAGTGTTTGAAGGGAGAGGATATGACCACCGGACAGTTTGTGTGGGAAAAGAGGGACCTCCTGGCTTAAGTCTGTCCAGAGGCTGAGGTTGAGGGGATTCCATCCAGACGAGGCAGAAGGCAAGAAAACCAGGGAGGTTGGAGTGTGTTTCTGGAATTTACATGACCAGCTGATGTCAGTGGCTTAGTTGGAGCTTTCTGAGACAGCTTGAAAGGGCAATTGTAATTTGGGGTGTCATTACTATGGAGTCTCTGATCGGTGGCTACGTGATGCCAGTGGTAGTTTTCTGAAGTACGTAATGCAGGTGGGACGTTAATGACTTCAAGTCTTGCTTGTTTAGCCTTTTTAAGAAATAATTGGAGGAAAAAAATGAGTTTGGCACAGGTATACTTCTGTGAAGAAGTAAATAACTCTAGCCAGTTTGTAGAGACCATCTTTGGCTAATAAGGTTCAGGAGGGGAATAACTAGAGTGACAATTTCTGTATATGGATTGGGGTTATTTATAAAAGTGAATACATTTATCAAGACTCAGGAGATAAACATTATCAGGTTTGTGTATTGCATTGTATGCAAATTTTATTTGGAAAGAAAAATTGTAAATATGGAATTCTATCACGCATGCTGAGTTATTTAGGGAGATAGGTACATCTGTATATAGTTTACACTGAAATGCTAACACTGAAAAAGACTAATGAATAGGTAGAATATAGGTAGATAGTAGTGTAGGTATATGATAAAACACAAATGGGAAAATGTTAAGGCTAGAATCTAGATTGAGGGGTACACTATTTACTATAAACTAGTTCACCTTTGCTTGCTGCTTCCCACTTCTCATACTGAAGTGTTACAGACTAATGTGTTGGAAGTATACTTGGCAGGGACCAGTTAGGAAACTATGCTATTGCATTAACAAAATCAGAGTTGTATATTTCTTAGGCAAATGTAAGCTGTAATTTCATGACGTTTGACTGACCTGTGCCATTGGATGTGTTCCAGGGAAAGCCCCTCTGCTAGTGTGGACACAGGTGCGTTCCTGTCATCCTTTGCAAGCTCCAGCAGGACTCTGCTGGTAGACGGCCGAGTAGAACTCAGAAGAGGTCTGCAGAGGCAGGAGCGGCATCTTTTCCTGTTCAATGATCTGTTTGTTGTGGCCAAAATCAAGTAAGTATGCTTCACACTCTTTCCAGGTTAACACCGTAAAATTACATGTACAGTATCGAAGATGCATTTTCAACTCAATGCTTACTGTAGGAATGTCTATTACTGCAGTTAATATCTAAAGCAAGGCTTTTGTTTTTGTTTAAAGAAACAGAAAGAAAACACTTCACATTGTTTATTCGTTCAACAATTTAACAAGTATTCATTTATTTCCTCTTCTGTGAGATGTGCTGAATAAATTCAGGCAGTGCAATGAAGAAAGTAATGGGTAGAGTCCCTGATTGGGAGCTTACAAAGTTATGTGAGTGCTCGCCTTGAACATGCTGGAATCCCATATGGGTGCCAGTTCTAATCCTGGCAGCTCCACTTCCCATTCAGCAACCTTCTTGTGGCCTGGGAAAGCAGTCAAGGACGGCCTAAAGCCTTGGGACCCTGGGAGACCTGGAGGAGCTTCCTGGCTCTTGGCTTCGGATTGGCACAGCACTGGCTGTTGCAGTCACTTGGGGAGTGAATCATTGGACGGAAGATATTTCTCTCTGTCTCTCCTCCTCTCTGTGTGTCTGCCTTCCCAATAAAAATAAAATAAATCTTTAAAAAATGTTATGTGAGGCATGAGGTTAATAGGATCTGCAGACTGTGATTAGGAATGTAAAAAAAAAATAGAGGCTGAGTGCAGTAAAATGAGATATATGCTGTATGCTAGGCAGGTATATTCAGAAGAAGAAAACATCAGTAAAAGATGGAACACACCTAGATATTCAAGAGTGAGAGGATACACATTCCAAGGAGAAGGAACAGCAGGTAGGAGAGAAAGCTAAGCCATTTGGACTAGTCCAAATATCTTGTGTAACTGAAACATACGGATTTAAATTTTAGAAGTAGACAAGGCCTAGATGATCAAGATATTTGTAAAATGTGTTGATTCCCATAGCCATATAACAGATTATCCTGAAGTATGACATTTTAAAACTCTCAGCATCTTGTACCATTTCTGAGTCTGGAGTGCAGGGATGTTTAGACGGTACTCTTGCTCAAGGGCTTTCGCGAGGCAGCAGTCCTCATACTGCTCACCTGGAGCTGCAGGATTCACTTCCAAGCTGAGTCCCAGGGATGCTGGTAGCCCCATCCCTCACTGACAGTGGGCCCAAGCCTACAATCCTTCCTCTGCCCAAACCCACAGACTTCTGAAAACCTGATTTCAGAAGTGACCTTTCTGATCTATATTATTGACTACACAGACAAACCATGGTGCACTGTAAAACGGAACTCTACGAACGTGTGACTGTCAGGAGCAGGGGACACTGGGGGGATCTTGGAGGCCTGTGCCATGGAGCTATGGTAAGGCATTTGACCTTTATTCTGAAGGATTTTAATTAGGGATGTGGCTTAGGTGATTCATAGCTTTAAAATATCACTCTGCTCATGTTAGAAATGGATTGGAAGACAGGCAAGAGGAGAAGCAAGGTAACCACACAGGTTCTTTCAGTAATCCTGAATAGAGATAGTAAGGACTTGTCTTGGGAAAGGAAAGTTAAAAGAAGGATAAGGATAGACAGACATTTGAGAATACTTCAAAAAGTTAATTTCAACAATGAAATCAAAAGATACTTGTCTTGTTATGATAAAATTGAAATTGATGTGTTTTCATAATACACACATTACATGAACTTTTGGAGTTTTTGTGTTTGGAATGTAAGAGGTACTCAAGAAGATTAACTGTGCCCCACACTAAATGCCAATATGGCCAACACCACCCTGCAGTCTGGTGGCTACTGTGTCCCCTCATCTGCCTTTATACATGACTTGTAATTTTGACATGATTGTCTTTTTCTTACATAGAGTTCACAGCCCTTTCTCGCATACACTGCTTTGAAATGCCATGTGGGTCCACTTACACGTTTGTCAGTGAAGACACAAAACAGACTCCATGCACTTAATTTAAATGCTGTTGTTTAAAATACTGAGTTCATTGAAATTTCAGGTGCTTTAGATATCCATTAGAGATATTTCAAGTTGTGCCATTTTCATTTAATTTGACTGGAATTACTTATAAAGATTGGAGGATAGGAAAGCTAAAATCAGACATGTCATCTTCATAAATTTGTAGTCATGTGACTACATTTTAGAAATAAAGAATTATTTTGGATGACTTGTTATTTTTTCAGCCTGGTCACATTAGTTTCATTCTTAATTAAAATTTCGTTGGTCTTACACTGTGGGAGTTAATAAAAGCATTGGAGCTAGTTCACATTAGATGTATCTTTTTAAGAATTTTTGGTGGTTCAGATACTATTAGAGATTCACAGTGAAAAAACAATGGAAATACACTATGATGCCAGAACTGTCCTTTAAAATTTTTCTTCCTTTATTTTTTGAGAGAGAGCAAAACCTACTATCCATTGGTATGTTCCCATAAGTGACCACAATGGCCATGGCTGAGCATAGCAAAAGCTGGAAGCTGGAAATTCTTTCTGGGTTCCCCACAGAGGTGGTGGGGACTCAGCCACTTGAAGCACCACAGTGGTCTCCTGAGGGTATACATCAGCAAGAGGCTGCTGTAAGGAGCTGGAGTCAGGGATCAAACCTGAGCACCCCCAAATGGTTACAAGAATCCAAAGCAGCATCTTATCCACAAGGACAAATGTTCACATCAGCTGTTTCAGGATAAAGCTTCAGTGGAATGTCTGTTGTAAACATTTCCACCTTAGTCCATTTTAGCTTCAAGTACATAAATGTTGGGAAGATTTTCTCTTCCATCTTAATAATATGCAAACAGTCATATCTTGGGCAGGCCAGAAAAGTAGGCCAAAGGTTAAAAAGAAGCATCCAGGTGCTTCTTAGGAGTAGACATTTGCAGGGCCTTTTAATAGATACACACTGATCAAGAGCATAAATTTTCTCAGGAATAGGCACTGCCAAAATGTAGTCTGACTACGCTACTTCAACTGTTTAACTTTTGGCAAGTTAACCTATGACTCCATTTCCTTATCTGTTTGAGAATTAAACTAGTAGGAGTAAAGTACTTACAGCTGTGCTAAGTTTTCAATAAATATTAGCCATTATTTGCATTATAGGAAAGTGAAAGTTATTCTTTACACTTTTTAAGGGTTTTTGGAATTGAGTGATATGTATCTTGCAGTTTAATTCATATTTTGCAACTTAAATAATGGAGGGAAAAAATAGTTGAAGTAACGCTTCCTCTAGGCCAATAGATGTGAACTTCCTTGTTTGATAACCAAGCTATCTAATATTAAAGTAGGACATGTATTAGAAAACATGAAATGCTTGACAACAAATATGGAAAAAATTGGAAGTTTCCCTCCAAAACATCCATAGTTTTAGTTTTACGTTACATAAATCTTGACCATCAAGAAATAAGATTTTGAGGAGAGAAGAGAGGTACCACTGAAGCCACTGCCATACTGCAGCCAGCTAAGGAAGAAATAGCCATACACCCTGATACTCACAGTTTTAGCTAAGAAGGAATTCCACAGTCACCCACAGACTGGGATCAGGCTTGGAGCTGGAGAAGCGACCACACTTCCTTCTGCTGTCCGCTTCAAGCAGAATGTGATGCTCAGCAGTGAAAACTCATGCAGCATACCTCTGTTCTGCTCCTCCAGCATCGCAGTTATACTCAGCAATGTATGCCACAAAGGAAAGATCCCCTGCATCCTACAGCTGTGGGAGTGGGGGGCATTGGCCCAGAGCTGTACTCAGGTGCTTTACATGAGCTAGACCGAGTCATCCTAGTTCAGAGGACTAACAGCAGTAGCAGCCCTTTTAAAAATCCACTCCCAACCTGGGAGATCTGGATAATGACTCCCAATATGCTGTAATGCCAGGATTGTAGCAATTTATTCATTAATTCTAATCTATAGGGTAAACTTAGGGAAGAACATACCTGCATTCCACCTCTCTAAATTCATACCCTCCAGAGCCACATCTCTTGCATACCTTGTAATTATCCTATAGGACTGATCAGAGTTCAATTCACATCCTCTGGTCCTAGGAACAGGTCTATTGGTGTTGTTATAAGCTACAGCACCAGTTGAACTTGCCTAGCAGTTACTTGCCCCTAAAAGGAGTTCATCCATACCACACAATCCTAGAGCTACAGTAATGAGTATGACAATCCCTAGCATCACTCAGGCTCACAATTAGAGTAAAGGAATAACCATCCTTTACCACTCAACACCAAAAATAATGCCCTGGCTATCATGGTCACCAGGGAGACTGACGGCAAACCACTCTCTGTGGACCAAAAATACACACCCTAGGAAACCCACGTGGATTAGAAGAATCATTATTAAGATGTCAATACTACCTAAAGTGATCTGCAGATTCAGCACATTCCCTATCAGAGTTCCAGTGAGATACTTTACAGAATTAGAAAAAATGTCCTAAAATTAACATAGAATTGAGGAAGACCCAGAATGGCCAAAATGATCCTAAAGAAGAAAAATCAAACTGAAATCAATATGTGACTTCAAAGCATACTACAAAGCTACAATAATTAAAGCAACATGTTAGTTACATTAAAAACTCATACATAGATCAGTGAAACAGAATAGAGAGCCCAGAAATTAATCCACCTACATACAGCAATCTAATTTTTTTTTACAATAGTCCTTATGCCATACAGTGGAGTAAGGATAGCTTCAACACAAGGTGCTGGCAAAACTGATTATAAATATGTAGAAGTATGAAATTAGATCCATATTTATTTTTACTATAGGCAAAAATCAACTCAAGATGCAGCAAAGGACCTAAATTTAAGGACTATGAAGTTGCTGGAAAAAAATGTAGGGGAACAGTCCAAGGCATTTGTGTAGGGGACAGCTACTTAGGTAACGACCCCAAAGCTCAGTTTACAAAACTAAACATATGGGACTATACCAAATGCAGAAACTTTTGCACATAAAAGAAAATCATCACTAAATGGGAGAGGGGGCTTCCCTATTCCCACATCAACAGCCGTGATCAGATCATCTTCATGGTGAGCCAAGGGTGCGCCTCTGTGAACTGCCCAAAAGCAATGAAGAGGCTGATTGTGTGTAGAAAGTTAGAGGCCTCCTTCCCCCAGCTCCTGTCCTCCATCAAGTTGCTGCAACGCTGTCTGCTGAAAATCAGCTGAAGTGCCTCTGAGCCATGCCTTCATCAGGTGGCCCATATGGAGGACGTCGGTGCTTGCAGGCTGACCATGTCGCTGAGACTGCATGCCTTGTGGGTGATTCTGCACCTGTGTTCAGGCGACCCAGGGGAGTAGGGAAAGCCTTAGGCACCACTGTGCCACTCCCTTTCTTTTGGGGCAGAGCTCGTGTTTTCAGAGAAGCTGCTGCTAAGGACCTCCCAGATTACTCCCTGGACCTGAATTTGATGTTGCCTTCTTGTGTATGCTTCTGGTCTTGGGAGAAGGAAGCCAGTCACCATACTGGCCTTGCTTGCTCCCTCCCCTTTTTCTCAAGAATGCTCAGAGTGCAGCCATCTCCAGCTGCCTAAGTAGATACAGATGGCAACCCATGAGCTGGCCCAGCTGTTAGCTCAGTGAATCATCTTACAAAGAATCTTAGAAGGGGAAGCAGAGGTGGCTTGCAGCCCTTCCATGGGGACACATATGGGAACTAGAGATAAGCATTGGTGAGAAATATGGATCACTGCGGAGACTCAGAGGTGCTGGTGTGGCACCAGTTTTGTACCTAATGCACCTAGAGCCCAGGACTGCGTGACCTCAGCTGCCGAAAGGAGCCCACTCTGGTATTAGGAGAAGGTGACTAGGGACAAAAATGCCACCGAGGTATCAAGTGTGCTGGGATAGCTTTCCAAGCAAGGTAGTCAGCCTATCCTTCCCCACATCTACCACTTCAGGAAGCAGTCCTCTATCATGCTGAATGTCACCTTCCAGGAGCTGCCTCTGTGGGCAGGCCACATCATCGTATAGGCAAGGAAGCCAGTGACTGAGGCTTTCACCAAGACTTGGATTTTAATTTCGTTTTTGTTGTGCCAACAAAATAATTATGTAATGGTTCCTCAGTTATGTTATTTTAATAAAATAATGTTTTTTTTAAAATGGCATCAATTAAATAGGAAGAAAAATAATTCAGGCCACCTAGCCAACAAAGAATTAATATTCAGAACATAACAGCAACTTTAAAAACTCATCACCACCTTCAATAACAATGAAAAAGTCCTGATGAAAGATGGACAGAGAACATTGATAGACCCCCAACTGGAAGACATCATGTGGAGTGAAATAAACCAGAGAAAGAAAGATACTATATGTTCTCCCTTTTTACGTGGGAGCCAGAATTTTTTTTAAATGCCTGTATATGTAAATATGGCTGCAAGTACAGTTTTGGCCAGTCTTTATTTTATACCTTTGTTGAACAAAAGGTAAAGAATGTTATACTACTACGGTTTTAACGATCTGTGATAACTTTAAAATTACTATGGATGAAATGATCATGTCTCTTTCAGTTATTGTTTATATCCAAAAACAAAAAGGGGTGGGGGATGGGAAGAAAATGGAAGAAGGCATGAAATGTCATTATATCCTTAACATTGTGTCTACAAAACATATTGAAACTGTTGTAAAAACTAATTAAACTTTAAGTAAAATTTAATAAACTAGAAGAACAAAGTATTTTATGTGTAATCAAATCTGTTTTCACAGTTTCATAGCAGTATGGTGCTATTACTGAATAAGTTTATAAATGGAAGCCATTATACAGTGAGACAATTTCCTGTTATAGTTGAATTCAGTGTATTCCATAAGCAACTTTTGATTGTAGATTATTCTTCATCCATAGTTCCCACAAATGCCTCTTCTGTTTTATGATTCCTGCTGAAAAGTGTTCATGTTAAATATACCATAAAATGGAGGGCTTGCAGGTATACTTCTGTATAAGATTATTTTTATTTCATTTTACCATTTTGTATTTATGTAAATAGTTGTGAACATGGGGAAATATTCAAGCTTCCCATTATCCTTCTTAGTGCCTTCTGTTTGAATCCTCAGATTCATTGTCAGCATTAGATCTGTCTGTGAGGTCAAGAGATATGATGGTTTCCCTATTGGAAGTCTAAGGAGTATTAGGAAGAAATTGTCAGAAGGCTGTTTCACCGTTGACTTAAAGTAGATGAGTCTGTGTCCCCAGAGATGGATAAAATGTGTCAAGCCTACTTTTTTTTTTTCAAATTTAGCTTCTGTTTAGGCTTCAGATTTTCAGTTTTGCCAGAATATAAGGGAAAATGATTGAAAGAAAGCTTTAAAAACAAAAAATAACTCATGCTTCTAAATTCTAAAATGCTAGAAAATATTAGCACTCAGTTGAAAATGTATAGTTTTATAAACTCCTAATTCTTTTCTATGTGCTTCTCTAAGATGAACATTTTAACCAGGTATTTTTATGATCACCTGCTCAGGTTTTTTGAAAGTAAATAAACTATAATGACTTAAATTTTTTAAAGGTTTGTTCATTTAAATGAAATGCAAAGTAGCACAGAGAAAATGAGAGAAAGACTGAGAGAAAGATCTTCCATCCAGTGGTTCATTCCCCAAGATAGCTTCAACTGTTGGGACTGAGTCTGACCAAAGCCAGGAGCCTGCAGCTTCTTCCAGGTCTCACATTTGGGCATTGAGCCACCTTGTGCTTCCCAGGCACTATAACAGGCTTTTGGGTCAGAAGTGGATCAGCCTGGTCTTGAATCAGCTCCCTTGTTCCAGTGCTGGGGAGGCAGCTATACTGGCCATACCAACAAAATGGTCCTGACTTCATAGAAGCAAGTTTTAACTTTTTCATTAGCAATAATTGTGTATATTTATGGCCTGTGTATGATAGTTCAGTATGTGTGTGCAGTGTGGTTCTTGATCCAAGTGTAATATTCAATACACATATAAGCAACACGGTTGGTTTATGGCTCATCACTGACGTAAATGCAATCATGTGGACTTGGTCTTTCAAAGGCTTCCTGGACAGAGGTAGCCAGCTATATCAGGATTTCCCAGCTGTGCACTGAAGATAAAAACTATATATCTGTTGCCCATGGTTATTTAAAACTGTATAGTAACCACCTTAACATTTAAGAAATAAAACAAGAAGTCCTATTTGTGTTTTTTCTTTTTTAGATATAACAATAACTTTAAGATTAAAAATAAAATTAAATTGACTGACATGTGGACGGCAAACTGCGTAGATGAAGTTGGAGAAGGCAACACCAATGTCATGAAATCCTTCGTCCTGGGCTGGCCCACAGTGAACTTTGTGGCCACTTTCAGGTAAGAAACTTATCTGTTGTTTATCTGGGATAACTGCTGTGTGCACGTCCAGGATATCTTATTCTGATAGTGTATGACGTCAGTACTTTTCGACACATTACAAAGATGCTTCTGTGCCTTAGCTATCTTGCAAAGAGCTTCCTGTTAAAACATGCAAGAATTAATAGTAAATATTTGCATCTCCCAAGAGTCACTTACTTTGATTTGATAAATGATTTTTAAAGGGTCTGCACTGAAACAACTAAATGGGAAAGGAACTTAGGGGTATTTGGAAAAGGACAGGGTAGTATTACCAGATCACTAAGATTGCAGCTCAAATGTCCTGTCCTCCAGTGTCCAAGTGTTTCACATATTGAGTTCTCAAATCTTGTCACTCTTTTCAGAATGCTGAAATAAATCCCTCTAAAGCAAGTTTGTAAAATAGCTACTAAGTTTGAATAACTGGTTCACACTCCCCAAATTTCAAAAGGCATAGTTTTCTACTGGAAAACTGAGATACTGAATTTCCTGAATTGTATATCAGGAATCTTTGATATCTGTAGAGATGTCACAACAAAAAAATAAATTTACAGCTTTAAGAACTGAAAGTTTCCCAAGACTTTGTCAAAGGTGGGGTATAGTTAAAGATACATAAACACAAAATAGTCGCCATCTTATCCTGAACCCACTTAATTCACATTTTTAAAACTCAGAATAAACATACCAAAACTGTGATTTTGAACACTCCAGTGTTTGTTTTGCATTTGAGGACTTGGTGTTATCACTTGCACATGGTAATTTCCATTCTGCTCCTCTCCCCACTCCCAGCAGACTCCTAAGACATATTCTTAAAGGCAAAGGCAGATGGCTAAATTTTACAGAGCTGCTAGTCTTGTAACAAAGGACAAGTGTGCCATTAAATTCCATTATGCATTTTTTGTCCTACCACAAGATTTTAAGGGCTTATATGGGAGAAATGTGTATTTGTGTGATTCTCTGCATATCTTCTTTCTGTGACAGATTTTTGTAGATATTATGACTTCCTGTTGCTTAATGTCCTTGGAGTTACAGGAGAAAGGAGGCAGTTTCAAGTATATGTGTGTTTGTGGATGAGAGGGAGGTCATGACTACATGACATCTTTAATCAAGGAATTTCCAGGATACTTCTTTTTGTTTGTTTGTTTTGTTGCTTTATTTTAGAGAAGAAGGGGCGGTGTGGTGACATATTTTACATACCCAGTTTTGTCCAAATTATGAATCTTTAATGAAATGATCAAGGTTAACATCACCAGTGGTCACGTGGATATCCTATAGCCCCTGAGACAATATGTTCAAGGGCGGTTTATCTCTTGATATTTCTTCCCAAAACTTACAGCCTCAGTCTCATTATGAGGAAAACATCCAATAAACACATTGTATAGAACACCTATTTAGTCTCCCAAACAGTCAGTGTCAAAAAAAAAAAATCCAAAAGCAGAAAATTTCTGAGAGGCTGTCATAGGTCAAGCAACAAGACGATTCAGAGTATCGTGGATGGAGGGAGGATATTGGTTGCAGGGAAGATCCTGGATTGAGAGAGTATCCTAGATTGATTGCTAGAAAAGAAAAAGTGCATTAATGGAGCAGGGAGAAGACAATGAAATCTCAGTGCAACCAAGAGGTTACTTGGTGGTACTGTGCCAATACTGGTCCCTTAGTTCTGACAAACAGGCCATGATAATGTTAGATACTAATGTTAGAGGAAACTGAAAAGCACAGGGAGAAATATGCAAGATCTGTAGAGTGGATCTTTGTAACTTTGTTGGAAATCTGAAGTTATTTTGAGTTAATTTTCCATTTTAAAAAAATACAGGTGTTGGGTAGTTCTGTCTCTATTATGGCAGAATAAGATCTTAAGAGACAGAGTGCCTACTGTTAAAAATGCAAACAACTATTACTTTCTGGGAGGTCTGGGGAATAAACCAAAGTCGACCCATTTTAGAGAGGCATTGAAATATGATACCAGCACCAGATGAGATGGCTTTTTCTGATATTAAGGCTGTCACCCCAGAGCAGGCCAGAGTCACATCATTATGTAACTAAAACAGAAAAAAACTAGAAAGTGGTGGGGAGAGGTCACGAAAGGAAGCACATTGGTTCAGAGAAGCTCCAACTTGTTTGTAGACACTCCTCAAGTCTGTGGCTTATCACTGAACCCACATGAATTATCTATAATCAAAGCTATTTAAAGGTAAGACTGAAAGAATTGATGTGAGCCCTTCCAGCCGACCACCCATGAGATAGTGTTTTACATCTGCTCTGTAAGTGTGGTGGGTAGAAGATAAATTCAGTTGAATTAATGAGATGGGAAATGTAAGCAGAGAAAAAAAACTTACATAGGCAGGCCAAATGAAAATCCAATAGCTGAAAATTGGCATGTTGTAAGTTATAATCTCTTTGTGCAGAGATTGAAAATGGGAGAGAAGTCGGTGAGTCTGAAGATGTCAATGCAGACTGTCCAGCCTGAAAAGCCAGAAAAATGAAGTTTTTAAAATCCATATATTTCTGTATTTGAAACACACACTTACAGAGGAGCAGAGAGACAGAGATCTGCCATCCACAGATTCACTCCCCAAATGCTTGCAATCATGAAGGCTAGGCCAGACTGAAGCCAGGAACCTGGAACTGTGTCCAGGTCTGTCCTGTTGGTGGAGGGACCCAAGGACTTGGTCTGCCTTCTACTGCTTTCCCAAATGCGCTAGCAGGAAATTAGATGGAAATTGAAGCAGCCAGGAATTGAACTGGGGCCACAGGGTATGCCAGTGTCATAGGTACTGCTCCAAGGATTCTGTAAATGAAAAATGGCATCAGAGACTTGCAGAAAGCTATCAAAGTGTGTGTACTATACACATAATTCGAATCCCTGGAATAGGAGAAAAAAGGATTTGAAAAGAATAAATATTTGAAGAAAAGACCATTTAAAACCTTTTTCAGAGACATACATGTGTATATTTAATAACTTCATAACCTCAAATAGGCTGAATGTAAAGAAAACTTAACCTAGTCATGTTGTAAAACCATGTGTTATGTGGAGAAAAACAACCATTTGATTCTTATGGACTTTTCATTAGAAACTGTGGCAGTCAGAAAACAGCAGAACCTCTTTTAAATATTGAGAGAAAAAGTTAAATATAGAACGTAGCATCAGCTAAATTATCTTTCAGAATTGGAGATGGCATAAAGAATTTTTAATTGGAAGAATTTATTGCCAGCTTACTTGTACAAAGGGCATGTTCAACAATTTTGTTTAGGCAAAATTGAAATGTTCTCAGACAAAAATATTGGCTGTTTTGAAAGGGTGTGTTGGAGATGCTGTTCTGTCTTGTTCAATCACTCAGGAAATGTAGGTCCTGATCCATTTGTAGTTCCCTCAGGTTAGCAGCTCAAGAAGCATTCTCTCCCACCCGGTTACTCTAATATCTGTCTTTTTAAAAAAAGCAAAAGCTAATAATAGCTGTGTAATCCAAAACTGAAAACAACTGCCAGAAGCTGTGAGGAATTCCCAGTTGAGTCAGAAGGGACAAAAGCACACCATCAGCATGACCTTGGTGTGGTTTACTTTGGGAAATAGGGTAACAATGACGCATCTGAAAGGTCAGAAGAATTCCATACCACTAACGCTGTATGTGCTTTGATTCGCATAGCTGTAATCTGTGTAGACCAGAAAAACAGGTGCTACACCTTGATTTTACAGATAACTAGATGATACAATGGGGACATTTTTCAGAAGACACACTTATATGTGACAGTGATCTGTCTACAAGAGGAATCGGAAGAATGTTTTAAGTATCTGGTATGATTCTTAGACTGAGGAATGCCTATGGATCAAATTAAAAATCACCTCAAAAGCCCCCACTGTGCTAGGCCGTTAGGAAACCAAATATTCTACATTGTTGATAGCCTGGTTTTCTTTAAGCTGGATCCAAGTACAGGCAGTGTGCTTCCTTAAAACAAATGAAAGACTTTTGTCAGTCTTACAGTTATCACTGCCATGTTTTTCTGCCCAGGGTTTCCCTTTTCGGTCACAGATATTGGAGATAACTGTATTGGCTGATTCAAAAACCTTAGCACCTGAACAGCCTCCCTAGGTGTCATGTGACACTGTCTTCCAGGTTGTTTGCTTAGCGTACCCTCACTGAATGAAGTGTGGCTCTCAGCTCCCTCTGAGGGGTGATCATAATTTGTAGGAATCTACCATGTCTTGTTCTAACTGCAAGATGCTTTGCTTTCTCCTCTCTGGCTGTTTGTTTTTGTCTTTTTCAGTGTGCTTTGGTGGTTAAAAAAGCCTGATTGGCATTGATTTTGCAGTCCTGTAAAAATGACTGATATTGAGAATTGCTAAGGAAACTGGAGCCTCAAATTCTGTATAGAGCAGAAGAAAGGGGAAAAAAATGCAAGATTTTATAGTCTCTATAAGTAAAAAGATACACTTCATAATTTGTTTTTAAGTAGTAGATGTTTTATGCGAATAATGAAACCCATGGTAGTAGGAATGAATGAGTGAAGACACACACAGCAATATGAATAAATATCACAGACACAATGTTGAATGACAGAACCAAACACAAAATAGTATCATAACATAGATTACATTTAAATGAAGTATCCAAAGAAGCAAACATATTCTGTACTGTTGGAGGCAGGAGAGTAGGAACTTCAGGCCTACTGAGAAGTATAAGGGGACCTTCCCAGGCAATTCCCTATCTCAGGTTCTGGATGTTGGTGTATTGTGTTAAATGGATGTGTTTAGCTTGTAAGAACTATTCAAGCTGTACAATTAAACTATTTTTTCTCTCTGTATTTTTTAAAAGTTGGAATAAAGCTAGGTGTCTTAAAGGAGGAATTTTTTTTAACTTGAAAAAGGTTAATGAATCAAACATTTTTCTCTACTTTCCAATATTGTTTTGTCAAATCAAGATTTGATATAAATGATTCGAGGAAAATGTGTTTTAAGAAAAAGAATCCATCAAAGGATGGATTGAAAGGTGGGAATTTGTATGGTCAGTGATTAGAAAAAAGATATCATGCACATTCAGATGATCCATCCTGGAAGATTGCTTATGGAGAAGGTTGCCAAGCAACAACGATAGAATCAAATCAGAGATATTTATTAAGCATGTTTTTCTGAACCAAGAAGAACCTAGAGTTTCCAGCATCTCTAAAGAAATTAGAAGTATGATTTTAAAATTTGTCATTGACAAGACCATATTGGAATATGTTTTAAATTATCTTTAAGTTAAAGAAATACAGGGGCTAGTGTTTAGCACAGTGTATCAAGCTGCCACCTGCCATGATGTTGTCACCGTCTATTAGTGTTCCACTTCTCATCCAGCTCCTTGCCCTGGGAGAGGAGTGGAAGATGGTCCAAGTGCTTGGCCTCCTGCCACCATGTAGGAGACCTGGATGGCAGTCTTGGTTCCTAGCTTTGGCCTGGCCCAGCCCTGACTATTGCGGCCATTTGGAGAATGAATCCACAGATAGATCTTTCTCTCCTTCTCCTTCTGTCTCTGTCATTCTGCCTTTCAAATAAGTTAAAATGCTTTTTTTAAGGTCATGGAAAATTCAGTGTTAAAAAAAAAAAGTAAATGTATCAATGACATATGGAAGTTAATGGTAATCTAGTTGTAAATGGATTAATCTTAATAAGGTTATAGGTGATTTTGTATGAACTATTGCTAATTACATTTTTGTCCTAACATTAAAATTTTCTTTGAGAACAGAGTGGTTTCCAATAAGATGTTTCCATAAATTGCAAAATTCCTCTTTAATTGCAACATTAAGCATCATTTCTATATGTATGGTGGCATGGCATATCACACTGCAAAAGCTCTGAAATAATTGCCCCAGTTGCAAATATAAGGAAACCAAGGTCTGGCAAGTTTGATTGTCACAATCATACAGCTAACATATGAAAGTTTGAGACTAGAGGTGTAGATTACTTAATCACTGTCCACTGGAAAATGTGTCGTACCACTCAAAAAATGGGCAGTAAAGTAGAAAACCAGGTCTCCAGAGCTCATTCAGAAGACTAATAAAATACATTTGCATACGTAGTTTTCCCTCAGTGGCGTCTCACCACAGCATTCTCCAGAACGCAGATTTGTCAAGGTTGCAGCTTGTATGTGCACCTACATCAGTAACAACAGGCTGTTCACTCTCCCATTTTCTTTGATTGCAGTTCTCCAGAACAAAAGGACAAATGGCTCTCTCTTCTTCAGAGGTACTTTTTCAGCATCTATATTTTTTAATCTTTACCTGTAGTATGAAAAACCTTTTCTGCTGAGACTATTCCGAACTTTTCCTTTCTTAGCAGAAAATGTCCATTTTCCCTCAGAATTAACTATTGGTAGACTGTACACTCTCCTGCTTACTGTGCATGCTCTTATTATTATGTAATTCTTTTCAGGAAGGAGAACTCTGAGGTCTAGTTAGATCATTTGAGACAAAAAAATTAGTTTCTCCCATCTCGTTCTATTGTCTCTGATCTCCCAATTAGAAGTAAGCTTCCTCACAGTATTTATTAAGTTTCCCTAAAGGGAGAATTTTCTGCTGCACACTTTACAAGTCAAGAATTATCCCTGATGTTTCACATTCAGGCTGGTTTATACTGAAATGGTCAGCTTGTGTTCCTCTCTTAGACCCACAATGCTTTCTCTCTTCCACCTGCCGCCCCCTACCCTCTCCCCTTGTCCTGGGATAACCAAGATTTACATTTGACTGAAGAGCTAAAAAGTAAGAGCCACTGCTTTGGTTTGCATCAGTACTGTGTGGTGAGATTCTAGACCTGTCCAGAGAAGGCAGACGGGGCATCCAGAAGTGCCACCGCCCAATTAGTGCTTCTCAATCCTTGCCAGATTTGGATGTCCCATTACTTCTTGTGCCTATGCCTAATGTCCTGGAAAAAAAAAATGTATCTTATTTCAACCCACAATGTAATCTGACTTTGCTGAGTCTTCCCGGATATCTTTTGAAATTTAGCATATAAGTACATTGAAAGTAACAGCACAATAGATTGACTTTTAAAATAAGCCATTAGTGAATTCCATCTGACTCAGTGTTGTTTTGGGTTGTTGTTGCATTTGATTAGATACATCAATCTAGAGAAAGAAAAGGACTACCCGAAGAGCATTCCCCTCAAAATCTTCGCCAAGGACATTGGGAATTGTGCCTATGTAAGTGTGTCTCTAAGCCAGAAAACTTAATTGCAAGCCCTTGACTAAGGCAGAACACCATGGGGAAACAGGGGGACAGGTAGGCATACAGACAAGAGAGACTGTGTGTATGCTATGGAAGATGGGTAACACGAGGGGAAATGCATTTGGGGGTGTTTGCATGTCTGTATCAGTGGAGAATAAGCCCTAGAGAAAATAAAGTAAGAAAGTAATATTAGCCACAGTATTTAACATTCATACTTGAAAGAATATTTACAGTCTTTCCTCCCTCTGGCATGACTGTTTCTCTGGATCTTTTCAATAGCAGCTGCAGAGGCTTATAGTAAAGGTATTTCTACACGGAGGTATTTCCTATTAAGTGATTTTTCCAACTTTTTGCTGAAATAGAGAGTGACTTTGAAAAATATCTGTGTCTTTTTTAAGGGTTGATTTTCCCAGGCTAACAAAGAAAATAGCAAGTCCTATACCTACAAAATTTTATTGTGGAAAATAATAACAATGCAAATAATTTTCTTTAAACAAGAGCTTGTTTCTGCCTCACAACACTTATCCTATTTCAAACAGATATTAGTTCTTTTATATCCATCATTCATAATTCTGATGACTGATATTTCAGCGTGAGAGCCAAGATGTTATTTGTAATGAACAGGACAAAAATGGTTGATTACTTTTGTGATACTACACGATGTCTCACTTCACAGCAGCCCTTGGTCACACAGAACAGTCCTGCCTGTGCGGGAGTATATAGTACAAAACACTTATGTTTTTCCCAAAAGCAAGACTTACGCAAACGTTCTGACCAACCCTCAAGTGCCAGATGTCAGTGCTCGAGGGAAAGACTCCAGTGTTTGTGTATGAGATCTCCTGTAGCAAAGTAAAGCACGTACCAAAACAAAAACAAAACAAACCACTTGTTGTTGCCTGCTTTAATTCAGTTGTTGGAGCAGTGAGTTACACTCTGGGTTTTCTTAGAAAATCCCTTGAACTATTTTTTGTTTGTCTTTTTGACAGTCTTTCTGTATGGCAAGCATGTGCGTGAGAGAAGATTTAGTGTCCCACCTGCGTTTTAGAAAAGGCGAGGAGTAATGCAGTCCCATTTTTGTCACTAGTACCCTGAAGTACTGGATGACATAACTCTATCCTTTAATCCGAGGTCACTTTCATAGCAGTGCCCTCTGTGCCCAGAAAGAGTGAGCCCTCCAAATAGGGGCACACTCATGGAAAACATTCTTTACATTTTTCTCTGAGTTACACACTGTGCCAGTGAAACCTGCTCCTTCTGTGATGGAACAGAATGGCCAGGTTTTCAGTCTCGACTGTTTGTTTTGTTTATCTGTTTACCAGCCAAGGAGCTCTGTGTGCCGAAATGCATTTGTTTTGTCTACACAAAAGCCATAAAGGGGAAAATATAATCCTGTAATTACAGTTTTGAACTCAAGCACCCAAAATTAAGAAAAACAATTATGTTAGAAAACAGTCAATTGGGAATACATATTCCTTATTTTACAACAGACTTCACGAGAGAGTATCTTTAAATTGAGCGGAGAGTTTTGCAGACTTTAAAGCAAAATCTATTGTGAAGTTACATCTCAAATTAAGGAGGTTAGCATAGAAATCAAATTCACTTGGATAGACTGAGCCCTCCCTGTTGAAATCCAAGCAACTTTTGCATAAACTTTCTGGGGAAAAGAAATGTGACTTGAAATGAATGCAATTTATAAAAATTCAAAGAAAAACCTAAAGTAATTTGTTCTGACAAGTTAATTGACTCTTCGGGATGAAATACTATAATGGAAGGGCTAGTGTTGAGTTGTAAGTGAATTTCACTTAGCTTTATTTTTATATCATTTTGCAACATTTGTGCTACATATTTATGCCATTTAAGCCCCATGTATCAGGGACACATCCCTCATCACTGATCTGTCTCATAACTATTATGTGTAAAATCTGTGTGCATAGAAAAACTATTTTTTATAATATAGTAATTTCTTTTATGTAAGTAATGGCATTTGCAAATCTGTGAGCTCTATGGATATCTGAGAATCCTCAATCTTTTCTAGTTATTGCAGATTCCATTTTTAAGTGGCAGTTCTCAATGAGAAGCGAAGTATCACAGATACCTGGCTTAATAGCAAAGTTGTTAACAGAGTTGGACTTCCTAAAAGTTTCAGCTGTTTTACCAGACTTATGGGTTTGAATCCTCTAGAAATTTCAGTAATCACTCTCTTGCTAGCCACAGCGCCTGACACACACAAAAGAAGTACCTAATAAGTAATGGATTTAAAAAAAATAAGTAGGTTTTCTTTCTTTCAATGCTTTATTTCTCTTTTGTTGCCAACTTTTATTCTGTTTTTATGTAAACTGACTTTACACAACACAAAGGAATAAAACTCCCTACGAAGAACAGTACTCAGGAAGAAATCTTAAAAGATCCAGCTGCCTCCCTTTTAACCTACTGTCTGTCTACATTATGGGAATGCAGTTATGAAAATAAGGCAGAAAACTAGTCTGAATGGTTTCAGAGGGGCAAGCTGAGAGAATGAATCAGAGATGTGCTCTCTGAAATACATTGAGTCTTTTCCTACCAGGCTTAAGCTCTTACAAGTGGGTAACTCAAAAAGCTCATGCCAAATCATATAAAAAGATGTTTCTTTTGGTGCCAAAAAAAATTCGAATCTACTCATAGAAGGGTCTTCCAAAACTCAGAGAGGCAAAACAGAGGTGATTGGCACAGAAGTTAGAAACCTGCTGAGACACCTCCATCCCATCTCACAGCCACTGGGTTCCTGTCTCTGCTCCATTCTGGATTCCAAGTTGCCTGCTAAAACAGATACCTTGGAAGGCAGCAGACAATGTTCAAGTAACTGATTCAGTCCATTGGAAACCTAGACTGAGTTCCTAGCTTCAGCCCTTATACCCAATCTTGTCCTAACTATTGTGGGCATTTGGGAAGTGAACTAGAACATTCGAGGTCTGTGTTGACTTGTATTGATCTCATTTAAATCATTTTTTAAAGTTCACTAAAAGTCTGTATTCTGAAAAAGCTATACATGGACTTCAAGTGTTTTGCACCAAAATTAACTCTTCACTCATTTTCCATGCACTTTTAGAAGCACTTCTATTTTGTGAGCCATGCATAATTTATTTTAAAAGAAGTAAATGCTTATTGACGTATATAGTATACAAGAGTCTAAAAGGAAGTTGTAATCAAGGACTTAATGTTAAGTTGTGTGCCTTACCCTATCCACACTTGAAATCAAGATGTGCCTTTGGATAATCACTTAGCAATGATTGCTTTGTCCACCTCTTTTTAAATTGTATATTCATAGCTGTATTTGTTTTTTTTTTTCCTACAGTCAAAAACTATAACAGTAACGAATTCAGATACAGTGAATGGAGTTATCAACATGTCATTGCCAATGCTAGGGATACCTGTAAGTTAACTCTTCAATATACTGTTAATGAAAAACAAATTTGATATTTCAGGTCTATGTGAATATTATGCATGATAATACAACTGATTGTGATACAGAATATTGTGTTGTCTCCAAAATAGAACTTTGATATTTGTTAATTCATGGGTGCTATTCTATTTTAAGGCTGTATACACTGAAGAGCATAATTTATAATTGGTAATGTGTATTTTTGTTATAGATGTTATAGACTTTCACCAAAAAATTGGATATATGATTCATAAGAAGGATGTATAACCACCTCCTATCCCTGTTTCGCTCTTGTCACTGTGCTCCCCCGTCTCTGCCCCTTTGTTACTACCCTGTTGTTACACCAGATTCAGCCATTGTTGAGATGATGAATTCTGAATAATTAACTCTACAGTACAATTTTTATGTAACGACCTCATGGCTAGGGATAGGTATTTAGGCTACCAGATAAAATGCCTATTAAGATGTCCGTATCCTACATCACAGTGTCTGGATTCAATGCCTAACACTGCCTAATTCCACCCTCTGAAAATGCAGACCCAGACAGCAACAGTGATGGCTGAAAGAGTTGGCTCCCTGTCATTCATCTGGTAGACTTGAATTGAGTCGCTAGCTCCCAATTTTCGCTTGGCCCAGCTCCATCCATTGTAGACGTTAGGAGAGTTAATAAGTAAATGAGAGCTCATTCTGTGTGTGTGTGTGTCAAGGTTTACATGTATAGGATACACAGCGAGAAGCCATGTAGTCTGCTTGCAGGTCCAGACATTTACATGGCTGGTACCGCTAATGAATTAGTAAATAAAAAGCAAGCTCTGAATTAGCGCTTGGCTTTGAGAGCTTTTGAGTACATACCCCACCCTTTGGTTTTCCATTTAGCTTCTGCCACTTTCTGAGACAGAGATGAGTTTGGGGGATTTTTATTAATGAAGACGATGAGACTTGGAAGACTGACTTTATCACTTTGCTACCAGTTGTATAAACAGAACACACAGTTAATACTTTCATTAAGGTATTTATTTTATATTGTATTTCCAGTACTTTCATTAAAATTTTAGAAGGATAAGAATAAGGGAAGCACTTGAACACAGCTCCTTGAGTGAGACTTTCTATAAATATTAAAACACTTTTGCCATTATAAGCATTATATGATGCATATTTAAAACATAATGGCATATTAATCATTGTAGCAACATTTGTTTGTGCACAATGCTATAATAGCCTTTAAGAATTCAAGGCCACCAAAGCTTGGGGTACTAAATCTTACTTAAATTTATTACTATATTTTAAATGTAATTAAATGTAAATTAGCCTTCCATGCTTTTTATTTACCAATTCATTAGCGGAGCAGCCATATAATTCTCAGGACCTACAACCAGACTACATGGCTTCTCATTATGTGTTCTACACATGTAAACCTTGAGACACACACACACACACACACACACAGAGTGAGCTCTCATTTACTTATTCAGTCCACTAATACCTGCAATCAATGGAGCTGGGGAAAGTTGCATCGATTTTTTTTAATACAAATATATTTTGGAAGAGTGAAAATGTTAGGTATAAGAAGGACACTAATGGCATGACTAACTTCTTTATGCTTTTCCTTTGAATAATATCAATCTCAGGTCAAAATATGTATATTAAGTAGGAACTAAAGTTGTATAGTTATACCTGTTCTGCGGGATTATTACAACTGTGTCCAGCTACTACATAAAAGACAGAAATCTACTAGTTTTCCCTTCCTATTTGCAGTAAAAAGTTTCTGTTAAATATGGGCAGGGAAAACTGACTAAAGAAGCTGAGTAGGAGTTGGGAACAGCACAGTAGCCTATATAGTATTAACCATAACTAGGCTTTGAATCATAAGAGTAGGGCTATAATTTTTCAGAAGTGAAATGCAAGAATACAAAATATTACTAATAGACTTTACTATTCTAGCAATATGTAAAATTATTTTGCTCTTTCCTTCCTAGAGGATTCAAAAAAGCTATGTAATTTAATACTGCTTCTTTCAAGTGGGATTTATAGTGTTGTTAGGTTGTAATCCTAGCAATTCCATCTTTTTCCCCATGGCTGGACCTGTCTTAAGAAGACAGGTCCTTTCTGTCCCCCGGAATGAACTTGCCCACACTAAAACCAGAGAAGACTGCCCAGCCTCCTAACTCCTCAAGGCCTCTTGGTCATTCTCCTCCTGCTGTGTCTGAAACAGCTAAGCTAATCACCAGCTTTTGAGATTTTACCTCCTAATCATAGACCCAGCAGTGTCTTGGGCTTTCTGAATAACAAGGTTGTCTTTCCATGGCCACACTAGAGTTGAGTTCACCACCCTCCAAGGAGGTCAGGACTCCAAAGACAAGCCTTGTGTAACCAGGAAGAGTGCCCTTCCTTTGTAAAAAGCCAGGAGAACTTCACATCCTTTGGAATACCTAATTAGTGAGATCCTGGTTCTGTTGCAATTTATAGAGCCTTAGGCATCCCTGAGGGGGTGGATAGAATCAGGATTCCTGAGTCTTCTCTTGGGGATTGAGGAGCGGGAGATGGGTTGTAGAAATTTAGCACTGTCATCTTCAAAAGTCATGTCCACCCTCATCAAACTGAATGTGTTTATATTGCCCCCATGTTTTTTCTTTTTGGAAAGCATTAAAAAGGTAAAAAATAAGTCCTCATTTATGTTCCAAGTGTGAAAGGTTAATTGTAAGACTTAATTCTTTTTATCTCCAAGGGCTCTGAGAAGGATTACCAATTATGGGTCAATTCTGGCAAGGAAGAGGCACCCTACCCACTTATTGGTAAGTTTCTATAAAATTCTAAGGTGTCTTTGCATCTTAATTACAAAGTTGTTAATAGGATACTAAGCTTCAATACAATTACATGTTAAATCTCATATCATAGTTATTTCATAAATATCTGCCAAGCTTCACTGTGTGCTAGACCAACATCCCTTCACTCAAGTAGGTAATGGTATGAGTGGGAAGAAAAACCTAAAACATTCCTCCCTGCATTTTTACTTTGTGCCAAATTTAGAAAACTGTTCTGGGGGCTAGCATTACTGCCCAGCAAGTTAAGCCGCTGCGTCTAATGCCAACATCCCAGGTCCTGGTTGCCTTGTTCCCTGTCCTATTCCCTGCTGATGCACCTGGGCACAACGCAGAAGACAGTTCAGGTACTTGGGTTCCTGTCACTCATGTTGGAGATAAAGATGATGTTCCTGGTTCTGACTCTGGCCTGGGCCAGCCCCACCCCGCCCCAGCTGTGGCAGCCACTTGAGAGGTGAACAAGCAAATGGAAGATCGTGCTCAATCTTCCACTGCCTTTCAAATATTTTTTAAAAATCCATTTGTCTCTGTGACTTAGTTCTCATATTTTCTGTTCCTGTCTACTTGCAGTGTTACTCTGTGGAAGACAACCTATAATCCAGTCTCACATTGTAATGCATCAGTGAATTTGAACACCTGCCCTGTGTCCAGAACCTGCCTAGACATTATGAAGAAAAAATAGATTAATCCATTTAGACTCTTAAAACTCTTCACTGTTTAGCACAGTTGGCTGTTAACCTAGCTAAGTCCTTTAGTGTTTGTTTTGAAGAATTATTGGTAAATATGGCATATCTCACAGTATTAAACTCATTTAGTTGAAAAAGGTTTCTTAACCCATAGCCTCATTCATTGTGACTAACAAACAGAGCGATTAAAATAAGGGACAGCATCTGTGACAGAACTTGAAACAATGACAGTGGTGTGGTATTCATGATGATCTGTTATTTTAAACTGTTTAGTACTTGGCAAGCATTGCAAGAAACATACTACAGTCATTGTCTCATGTTACCCTTTCCTCTGTGAGGCTACTGCCATGTAATGAAGAGTTTTTCAAGTGGCCTAATTTTTTGTTTTCACTTTATTGGAGAGAGACAGAGAATGAGAGGTCTTCCATCTGCTGTTTTACTTCTTAAATGCCTACAGCAGCTGGGGTTGAGCAAGGCCGAAGCCAAGGGCCCAAATCTCACTACCTGGGTGGCAACGAGCTAAGTACCTGAGCCATCATCTGCTGCCTGCTCAGATGATGGACCTAAGACTGAAACAAAGCACTCCAGTATGGGATGTGAGCATCCGACAGCATCTGAACTGCTGGGCCTAGGACCTGCCCCAACCTGAGTAATTGTGAGCCAGACTTTCTGACCTTTGCAGTGTACAAGGATGTTTCAAAAAGTTTATGGAAAGGTGGAATGCAGTGATGTTCATGCTGTGAAAAAAGTAACACAGGCAGTGTTTTAATAATATACATTTATGTGAAATGTTAGAAACCTGTTTATGTGAGTTCAAACTTTCTTTCCAAAATGAACCTTAAAAATGTTAACTTGTTTGAAAGACTTAGATATAGAGACAGGGAGCGACACAGAGAGAGGTCACTTGTCTGCTGGTTCACTCCCCAGTTGGCCACAGTGACCAGGGCTGAGACGGATGGGAGGCAGGGTCCTCATCTGGAGTGGTGGAGTAAGTACTCACGGAGGAATCATGCATGGAGCTCAGGAAAAGTCTGCTGCCTTTCAGGTTTTGCAAAGTTGTTTTTGTGAAAGTCATTCAGCAGAAATTAGTTGTCATTAAAAATCAAATACTTATCATGTCAGTTTTGATAAGGTTTATTTAATTCAAATTAACTGCATGGTAACATTCTAGGCTTAGAACAGTTCCAAACTGAGTTACTAGGATGATGTGTGATTGTTCCCAGATTTAGCAGTACTTCTATTTGTTGTTTTTATTTTGAATTTTAATTAGTTTTAACAGATTCGGTATGATTTATAGACAAACTAAGAACATAATATGCCCTTCTCTCCTTCCTTAGTTTTTCAGATAGCAGTTTAAATTTACATTACAATGAAAAGGCTTAATACTTGCAATTCTTAATTGTATATATGTATATGTGTGTGTGTATATTTACATAAAAGCAGAAAAGTATGAACATGTTAAATTTGAAAGAGCTTTCAGTCTACTGCTTCCACCCCTCACCCCCAAAGCCTGCTATGGCCAAAACTGGGCTGGAACCAGGAAGCAAAGTTGAGGTGTCCCAGGTCAGTAGCCAGCACCTGCTTGCTACCTCCAGGCTGTGCACCAAGACACAGCTGGAATTAGGAGTTGGAGATGGGACTCCAACCTAGACACTGCAGCCCAAACACAGGCATCCTGCCTGCCAGGCCTAGTGCTCACCCCTTCATCGGATATTTTACTGTGCTCTGTAAACGTCACATGTAGATTGTTCACTATTTTGACAAATTGTTTACTTTCCCAGAGGCCTTTTCTTTGTCTTAATTTTCAGAAGCTAACATAGTACTTACTATCAATGGAACATAGACATTGTATGCATAAGCCAGGTAGAAAGAATGACCATAAACAATTGAGTCACACCCAGTTTTAAGAATAAAAGAGAACTTTCTGTAGTTAAAAAAATATCTACAGCGCAATATTATTCAAGGATTCTATTGAGAGGATGCAATTACTTAAGAGTAGTAGGGAGCAAAAGTCATGTTGCACTCAGATGTCCAAGATTTAGTTTTTTCTAGTTTGTAAATTCCTTTCTGCATCTGTTTCTGTGTTTCCAATCCCCTGCAGTCTTCCTTCTGATTATTGCCTATGAACACTAACTTAGAGGGCAGCAGTGGGAGGGAAACATAAATCAGCCCCAGTGCTCTTGAGTAATTGCAATTATGTAACAAAAGACATGCAAGGCCTTTTGCAGAGAGACATGTTAAATAGCAGCAATGATTACATAAGGAGTCCTTTGTCCCTAATAGTGAAATCGTGTCGCCACTGTGTACTTATGATCCTTATGAAATTGTGTATGGTAGATATTTTAAATTATGCACTGGAGTCAGAGGGCACGTGGATTTGCTGAATATTGACAGATATAAGTGTCAAAAAAGAAATTACAATGCATTGAAATATTCCCAGATGGAAATGTGAAAAATCATTATGCCACTCAGCTAATATGTATATTCCAAATAAGATATTTTTAAAAAGGATTTGTTTATTCATTTATATATCTGAAAGGCAGTTAGATTCCACCTGCTTGTTCCCTCTCCAAATGGCCACAACAGCCAGTGGTGGGCCAGAGCCGAAACCTGGAACTCCAACCAGATCTCTCCCATGCAGGTGTGTAAGTATTTGGGCCATCTTCCAAGAAAACTACTTTGGTAGGGCTACCTGCATATTATACCCTTCCGTACAACTACTGGAGTATACATGGTGACCGTCCAGTTGCAAAAGTACTTAGCAGAATACTAGTTTGTACCACACATGCTCATAGTAATGGTCAGCCTGAAGTTTATATATGGAATTTTTTTCTGCGTAGGACATGAATATCCCTATGCAATTAAAATGAGCCATCTTCGAGACACTGCCCTCCTGACACAGGGATCAAAGGATTCCACTGCCACCCTCAACGTCCAAGAGCCCTTCCTCATGGAGCAGCTGCCCCGCGAGATGCAATGTCAGTTCATCCTGAAGCCCAGCCGCCTGGCTGCAGCCCAGCAACTGAGTGGTGAGTTCCTTCGCTCTCTTCACAGAGCCTTCTTGAAGCAAAAGTTTTCACTGCTGAACACAAACTTAGCACAGAGCAAGACTCCCAACTTTCTAGCCAGATAACATACCTTTTCTTTCAGAGCCACTAAGTACTTTAAAAAACAGGATGCAGTTTTAGAAGATAGTTTTATATACCAGCAATAGGCATGAGTAGATGTTAACCAGCAGGTTGTAAGAACATACTTTGTCTCTTCTTTACACTGTTCTTTCTCCTTTAGCCTTATGTGCTAAGAACTCCACATCCAGAGAGCAAAAATCATGTTGAGTCAGACACCAGGCAATGCTAAAGCTGTGTCAATGCCTTTGTACTGTAACATACTCCTCCATTTTGTGTGTCCCTGCAAATGATTACACCATAAAAAGGAGTGTCATGAGTGCCAGTGATAGGGGATAAAAGTTGGTAACGCACTAGGTGTATGATGATTGTGATCAATACAAGCAGTCTTCAGAAAGTTCAGACAGTATTCATTGTTTTACAAAAAGTATGCATGAGTCTCTTATGAACTTCTCCAAAATAAACTTTCCTTTAAATTCTGTAATGTCCTCATATGTGAAGACTAAGATGATTTCTATAGTGTCTCCTTTTCTTACCAAATGTGCATCCCTTTTAAACTTAACTCTTATCCATCGCATGGTAAAGACTAGAATGAAAAGCAATGCTCAACATAAAAGTCTGATTTAGCATATCTGGTTTTTTTTTCTTCAATTGTATTTTTGATGATCTTTACATAGTTAATTAGGGTAAAAGGTTCAAGGGCTACAGGAAAGCAGGTAAGACTATTATTTCCATATTGGTTTTTTGTTTTTTCATTTAATTAATTACATATTGCGTTATGTGACACAGTTTTATAGGCACTGGGATTCCCCCCACCCCTCCCCTAACCCTTCCCCCAATGGTGGATTCCTCCACCTTGTTGCATAACCACAGTGCAAGTTCAGTTGAGATTTTTTTATTGCAAGCATATACCAAGTATAGAGTCCAGCATCTTATTGTCCAGATGCTAGCTCTACCTTCAGACCAGAGAAGGTCTCCCTAAGAAGCTGTTGAACTTAGCTTAACCGAAGTTTAAGCTCTTCATCTGAAAGTAACGTTGCATAAGAGAAAGAGATCATGGAGACCAAAAAGTAGGAATATGCTGTTAGGAAAACGACACACTTCTGTGGCTTCTATTGTCAGTTTGAGCTAATTAGGGCATCAAAGGAACCAGTGGCATTGCTTGTTGCAGCTGGGCAAGCTCAGGCCTGAGGAAGACTAAGTTTAAAGGGATGGAATGGACTTTTCTGGCACATGACAGATTATTGGCGTCATCTTAAAGCCAGATGAAATTCTGAAATGCCTCATCTCTTGATCTAATTGACACAGCATTAATGAGAGTATCTCCTACCATTTCCAACTTCATGACCCTCTTTGGTAGCGTTCCACACATGGCTAAGACAGACACTATCAGCACTCATTGCACAGGGGTTTTTGTGTTTAAAATGTTTATTCAGATCATGATCCTTTTAAACTCGGTTTTCGTCAGTATTTTAAATGGTTTATAATTTTCATACTGGAATCTTTATAGTTTCTGAAATAATTGATAGTTGCAGCATGAAAAATCCTATTTAATCCATAGATTCAAGTCGGACTTATTGGGCAAAAATACTTAGACCTATTCTTTCTCCTCTTCAACTGGTATTTGTGATTTCTCTCTCTGGAAGCCAAGATTTCTTCTCTCTGATAGCACTTTCTTTATCCAGTTCCTCCCTATCCAGCTTAAATTTCAGAGTTGTGATGAGATTCTCTTTTGCTAGTAACTTTAGCTGTGTCATTCTCTTTCCTACTCTCCTGTACTCATACTAGAATCCTATTTCCTCATGGACCATGAGTGCCGTAGATGAAATCACTCGCCATCAGGAAAGTTTGTGATCACTAATGACCAACCCCAAATGAACACTCCGTTGTTGTCTACTATTTTGTTTATTTAAAGCATGTTCTAACTCTTGAACCAACTGACATGTACATATGCACATCTAGTTCTGTCACTTTCTGATGATCACCTAACATGATGCCTTACTAAAGTTATCAGTGGATAAGTCAACAGAGGCTCCCTCATCTAACAAATATAGCTTAAACTGTCAGTCATCTCCTAGAATAGCAGATGGAATCACGGGATTAGAGGGGTTGTTAGCTTACAACTATGTGACATTTACCGTATGCAGATCATAGCTCATATTTGCTTCAGTCTGTCAGTACCTTACACAGTGTCTAAAGTAAGTACTTAATATTTGTAGAATTAGTTAATGTTAATTGTTCTCTTCCTTGTTTATAATTCAGCTGAGGAGAATAAGATTCTCCCTTTCTACCCATTTTTTTTTCCAAAACCGTTTTCTCTGGGTCTTTTTTCAATTTAATTTAATTAATAAGCAGTCAAAAGGCCTAAGGGTTTTATCCGATTTAGCCAATAACTTGCCCAGTTAAGTTATAGGCATCCACTAGGAGTTGGTTCATGGTATCAGGGATGGAGTAACTATCGACTAGTGGCACCAAAACCTACTTGATCATCAGAATTACTGTGACAAGTTAATAATTGCAGCTGAATCACATGTGTATTTTTAAAACACAAGGATTTTAAGGAACATCTGCTTGAAACCACTTACTCAGGAGCTAGCACCGTTAGTAAAATTTTCAAGTCAGTACACAAAATCAAGGATATTATGCCAATTTTTATGTCATGGATTTCCCTGCATTTTTATTAAATTTAAAATAATTGAATGTCATTTATAATAAGATTTGAATACCTTGCGAGGGGTAAGATTTCCCTCCCAAATCACTTCATCAGTGTTGCAAGTATTCTGGTATATGAGGAAATTTCTCTGTTTCTTCTCTGAAAAACTATTGCTGCCAGATACTAATATTGTGCAGATAATTGAGAAAATTCCTGTCTTGGAAGGCAAAAGGCAAAAATTATATCAGTTCATATCTTCACTGTATGAGTCACTTCCTTCCAAATAAAAATCAGGTAGAAGCTCCTCAATTGCATAGTGAAATGTCCTGAGGCAAGAAAATTTCCTTTGCTGTTGCATTGAGGTTGGCACAATACTGCCGAGACTGTAGTTTGAGTTCAAAATATTTGCTGTAAATTGGAAATAGAGATTTTGATAGCAAGATAGGGGTGTATAAAGCAGCTTGATATATTTCTATGCTTTTACTTTACCATTTTAGATTGAACTCATTAAGCATCAAATCTACAGCAGCATTAATTTCTAGAGCCATTCAATGGCTGAGAACAGGTCTCATCTATCTGAAGTCCAGTCTTGGACCTATGTTCAAATATCACTCTAAAGCTTTACTGCTGCTCAGCCATTGAACTGGGTGATAGCACAAGATAAAAATAAAAACCAAAGACTGGCTTGATAAAAATCCATAATGGTTATGTCCCTAAGAGTAAATGAGATGCACTGTTGGTACAGTATCGCTGATGAATACAATTCAGTGAGTAGCCCCAGCCCTGCATGCTAAATTTTCCAAAGCACGTACAATACAACCTAGCAGATTTCATTTCAGGGAAACCAAATGAATGTTCTCAAATCTTTGAAACTTTTCTCATTATAATTGTTCCTTGCGGACAATTTAAATTTTTAGCTGCTACAAACTCAACATTGATTTCTTGAATAAATAACCAACTCTGATAGTTCAAGCTATGTTATGTATAACTGCAGTATACACATTAAAATCTGTTGTGGATGGTTTGTGCATCTACCTGTCTTTAGAGTTTGAGCATCTGAAGTCGTGGAACTTCATCCTCAGGATGTACAGCAGAGTTTCTATGAGCATTGCACCTAGTAGGGGAAACATTAGTTGAACACAAGAATTTGGGGTTCTGTTGAGTATGGTAACAATATCCATGACTCATCAACTTAGTACAGATTCAAACTACATCCAGCATCATAAAGTACGTGCAGCTCACCTCAACATAGGTCTTCTGCCCTTGTCATGTGAACTCACTGTTCCATCAGCACATTAGTATTTCCTGAATTGCAGTCCTCATTTGATGGTTTTTGTTTATTTTGCTGTCACTATACCCTGCACTGTTGTTCTTGGTGACTATTTTCCTTGAAGGAAAAATGTCTGTATGGACATTAAGTTCCATACTGGCAGAGCATCATTGGCATATAAAAAATGCAAGCATATCTAGATCAAACTCTGTGTTTCAGTATCAATTTAAGACCAAGCCTTGGGTTCATGTTTTCCCCAGAGTTTTAATTTTTTAAAAAGCAAATGGAAGGAGAGAGGCTAAACCTCTTCCTTAGCATGCATTATAAAAATCCAGAATGTGACTTACCAAGTGTCATTTATTGGCGTCAGTCATACTCTGACCGATGTGTTTCAAATCTGTGAACTCAATTCTTAAAGTGCTTAGTCCTGAAAAGTGGATATTTTACGTAGCCTCTTATGCAATAACTAGATCTTGTTTCTAAACTTAAGACAGTAAAGATCATTTTTCTATTAGAATATTAACTGATACCAATTGTATTTTTAAACCACCTCAATAAAATTAGGCACAATTAGGTAAAACCCCAGTGACTCCCTTTATGAGAAAGGGTTTCTCGAAACAAAATAGTCCTGTTAGTCAGCATAGCCTTACTTGAGTGTGGTCATCTCCAGGGTTTTTCTGCCTCTATGTGGAGGCAAAAGTATTATCCTGAAAGCAGAGTAGCCTTCAGTTTGTCTTCAGGCCATGCGTGTCTTTGGGCTCCTGTGAGATGGGTCTGGCATTAATTCAGGGTTTAGGATACAAGCACTTAAAGATTTGACCTGAGACACCACATCTAGGAATTTCCTTTAGGCAGATAATTGCCCCTGCTCTGTGTTCACAGAATACTTTATACATAGCTGCCTCTGTGCTTAGACTGGAAGTATCTTAATTAGTGTTGCACCTAATTTATGTACAGCGAAAACCTTGAGCTTACACAAGAGTCTGGAGGTCTTTTTAAGTATGGTCGTAAGTAACTGTTGGAGTTTCTGTACGATCCATTCCCAGATCTGCACCTACAATGTTCATCTGAGATGTAGTACTACACTGCAGTTGAGTTGTTATTCCATTTTTAGTCATCGCCTTTAGGTAACGGGAAGGAGTATAATTTGGGTAGATGCAGGCCACAGTATCATTTCCAATTGAAGTGTTGCTGTGATCATCATTCTATAGTTTCAAGAATTGTGATTTTTTTAATAGTCAGTCCTCTAATTTAAATATGAAAACAACACTATCCTGAATTCAGCTAGGGTTATTTAGGAAAGCTATATCTACATAGACTTAGATTCTATTGCTGTCAAAAGGGTGATGTAAATATAAAACAAACTGTTTTCATTAGCTGGAGGAATTTAGAAAGTTATGCATTAAAAGCTCTGCAAGAAAGTAAACTTTAATGAAAATTTTTCTCTCAATTCCAGAGGGAACTTAAATTCTCATATTGAATGTTCTACATAACAAAAGGCATGACTGCAGCTGAAAGTAGTTATGATAAAAAAAAGGATTCAATTTCAACTTTATCTTCTGCCTACATTCATAGGATAGCTGGATATATAAATCATTGTTCACTTTCATAAATGTATGAATGCTCTAAGAAAAACCAAATCTTACAGTTTTTAGAAATAATAAAACCAGGATAAATATGAGCAAAGCAAACTGAGTACAGAGTCCTTAAAAAGTATGTTAAACTAACATGAGCACCGGTTAACACTGCGATACATACCAGAACCCCTTGCTGGTTTGAGAAGGTTTAGCTTCATTTCTGCTTTCAAGATGTTAGCGGTCAGGGTAGAAAGAGAAGGCTGTAGTTGCACAGAGCAGTAATATTCCTTGGTGTCTGCAGACCTCCTCAAGCCTGGCAAACAGAATGGGGAGAGGGGAGAAGGGAGGACCTCGCTGTGGGGAGCAAATCTTAACATATTCCTCTCTATAAGCCGTAGAGGGGTAGGTAATGTCCGTTTCCTTTTAATGCTGAAAGAGTTTAGGTGACTTATGTAAGTGTCTGAATGTGGAGTCTCATAGGGCTCCTAACTCCGAGCTGGAGAGCTTTGCACGCTTAAGTGCATATAGCAATGGTAAACTGTCATCCTAAGGAAGAGTCCTGTGTGGGTGACAGTCTTAAGCCATTTGGTAAGATGTTTTTTATTTGCTTATTCTCACATAACGTGGTTTAATATTTGGTTTAAGCACATTATTTGAGCTAATGAAAGGCTAAGGTATGCTGGAGCCTAATAAAGTCTTAAAATTAGTGTGTAACAATGCAAGACTGAGAAGATCTAATCCCTCAGCATTCAGTTTTCAGCAATGGTCAGGAGCTTGGTTGAGTGTCTTCAGAAACACTGCCACCCAGCCAGTGTTTAACAATTAGTTCCCATGCACTCCCAGCAGAGAAAATGGAGTCAGTTCAAAGTGGGCACTGCTGGGTATTAAGGCTCTTCAAATCTCAATTTTGTTCATCTTTATTGAAGCTAGTTCAAGTATACTCTGGTTTTCAGCGATCAGCCAGGGATTTGGGCAGAATTTACTCACAATATTTGGGGTTCTCATATTAGGTTTTCCCCATTCGGTTTCCACCTATACCTCTGTGTTCTCTTATTTCTCAGGCCATTTAAAAGTTCTGCTTTCTTCCTAAGTTTCCATTAGTATACTGCCTGACCTCAGGCAGAAAAACCAAGTAAATTCATCCATTGCTATGCCATTCCATTCATCCAGGTATTATACCCTTGCCACTTAATTATGGTACCCACCTTTTTCTGGCCACTCTTCAGTGCTTCCAGGTACCTTACCAGGGTTTGTTTGTCCATGACTTATAATTGGTATCCATGCATATTTGTTAGGAGCAGACAGCAGGAGAGTCAGCCACCTTTACAAGACAAACCTTGAAGAGTTGTATTTTTAATTTTCAAACTGTGTTCAAACTCACTACCTAACATCTTAAAATTAGACACAGATAATACAAAAAGTGATTTGACATGGTGGTATCATAACTCAGTGTTGACATTTATGCCTGTTTGTTTTCCTACTCTACATTTTTCATTTATATGCATTCTCAATTTCAACTGTTATCTAATAATTATAGTCAATTATATTATAAGGTGCTATGCAGGATGTTCTTTCAGTTGCAATCCTGTTCATTTTAAAATCTAAATCAAATGTAAACACCCTGCCCCTGCACTCAGTAAAAAGTTACTGACCCCCAGTGTCTCTGGTACTCTGTTCCTACTTAGTTGAGACTTAGTAACATACTTGTTCCCCTCACTCCTAACAACCACTGCTTCCAAACTTAGTCACCACTAGGTATGAACTTATAATATCAAGGCCAAGTCTCATTCATGTCTGTGTCTAGCCATGCTGCCTTCATCATGCATCTTTACAAAGCAGAAAAATACTGTAGAACATTAGCTTCCCCCTCTGTTCTCTGTGGGACATCGAGTAATGGCATTCGTTGTTTCTGGGGAACATCTTGAGAGACAATTCCATTTTTTCTCTTCTACTCTCTTCCTTCCCCATTGCTTTTTCTCACTATTTAATTGTGGTCTACCACAAAATTCAACTCTGTGTGCTTCGTCTAATCTTTCCAAGTAGAAAAATACATGTATTGATTTGAAGCCCTTGTTAAAGGTGTTAGTTAAATAAGGGAACCGTTCTTTGAAGACGTCAGTCTTAGGTCTGAATGAGCTCCAGCTCATGATCCCAGCTTCCTGGTGGCCAGGTAGTAGCTCGGTTGGATTCCTGTCACCCACTTGGGAGAGCTGGATTGAGTTCCCAGCTTCTGGCTTCAGCTCAGACTTACCGTCATAGGCATTTGGAGAGTTGAATTAGCCTGTGAAATTTCATGTTCCTTTGTTTTTCCACCATTTCCCTTCCTCCCTATTATTTGAAAAGCAGAGAACCTGAGAATTTAGTGCCAGTACTCAATTGTATAAAGCAAGATGTCCGAAAAATTTCTTTAGTTCATAAATCAATGAGATTTCATAGGTTTTATTGTTAACAAAAGGACATCAACTGCTAAGTGCTTTTCTTTGAACCATAGTAACATACGTACCATATTACAGAAATAAAGTCAAATGAATTGGACTAGGTTTCCTAATAATCTGTTCTCTTTAGATTCAGGTCAGAAGACATTTAAAAGGAGAAGATCAATCATAAACTGGGCCTTCTGGCGTGGCTCTAGCACTCATCTAGACAGCCTGCCCATGTCACCCACATCGCCTGTAACAGGACAGCTCTTTGGAGTTTCTCTGCCAAGTATCTGTGAGAATGACAACCTGCCCAAGTCTGTCTTGGTGAGTCTCATTGTACCCCCAAAAGTAATAGAAAAGGAGGTTTGGAAGAAAAAGTGCTGGATCACACCTTAGTCTCCAAACAGAAAAATTGCAGGCACCTGTTACACTGAGATTAACTGATTTGGTTTTTGCAGAATCAAACAAAGACATAATATGGATAGCTCATCAAACAGTGCCAGGGAAAGGCCACATAGCATGTTCCCATAAATGAGAAGTGGCTTTGCAATGAATCCATCTCATTCCTCACAAATCCTTCCGTGAATTCCACATTGTCTGAAAGTCACTTTTTATCATTCTTGCAGCAGAGACTATGACTCTTTATACTCTTTCAAGGTTTAACAAGCTTTCTTTGCATTTCAAATGTGTAACCATCAATATGCCATTCTCTGGGTATAGATTCAAGCCAGTAAGGTAGTACTGTCACTAATTGTTACATTAAACAATCACTGTTAGGCAACACTTGGTTGAGTAGCCTTCAAGCACTCTACTTAGATGAGTTTCAGTATATGCTGTCTTATTCATCCTTACGTGTGAGGCAGAAGTCCAGCCATTTTACTATCTATCCTTCACAATAAACAGAGAGGAGTTACTGTTCCTTATTGTAAAACTCTGTAAAAGGGCAAAAGGGTCTGTCATTGAGGTGTAGGGAGGTAAGCCACCCTCAATGACAGCATCTCCTGTGAGTACTGATAAGAATCCCAGCTACTCCAGCTTCCAATCCAGCTAGCCACTAATGCGCCTTTAAAAAGCAGCAGAAGATGGCCCGAGTGCTTGGTCCCTTGCCACAAACATAAGAGACCAGGAATAAACTCTTAACCTAGCTCCATCCATTGCAGTCATTTGCAGAGTAAACCAAGTAGATGGAAGATCTTTTTCTCTGTCTCTTTGTCCCTCTCTCTGTAACTCTCAGAACCTTATCCAAGGTTGCTAAGTAAGTGGTGTAACAGGTTTCAGATCCCACAGATTGTCCCTTAGACCATTTGCAAGCAAAGGATAAGCAAAATTCGGTAAATCCAGCTCTTAGCAATTTAAGAACATAGTACATCCTTACTAACTGTAGCTACCATATTCACCTAGACTTACTGCTCTTGCCTAACTGAAATCTTGTAGCCTTTGTCCAACATCTCACTGCCTTCCACCCATCTCACCTGGCAATGTTTACTCCAAGCGTCCAACTTTCTGGCTTCTGACCCGGCTGGGTCCTTCAGTGCTCTCCCTCTAGCACACTCTAGCCTGTGGAAGCCGAACAGAGCAAGTTATGCGAGTTTATCTCGAATGGGAGAAATTCCATTTTTCATTTTTTTTCCTTTGCATTCCCACAGGATATGCTTTTTTTCCTGAATCAGAAAGGACCCCTGACAAAAGGCATCTTCAGGCAGTCGGCCAATGTGAAATCCTGCAGAGAGCTAAAAGAGAAACTCAATTCTGGAGCCCAAGTACACTTAGACTGTGAATCTATTTTTGTGATAGCATCTGTCTTAAAGGTAGGAAGTGTTCTTTTTTTTACCCCCTAGTGTAGCTGTGAAACAAGGCAAATGATTTATTTGTGTTTCATTATGAATATTTTGTTTTCAAAGATTTAGAATTAAACATTAGAATTGTTTCACAGACTCAACATTGCATATTTTAACTTACTGCTAATATAATGTGAAGTGGGCTTCTTAAAATTTTTTCAGCCCACGATTTCTCATATTTGCTTTCTACTACTCCATTCACAAAAGTGAAATTCAATTAAAGATAAATCACACAGCATTTTTACCAACATCATGCTTACAATTTTGTCCTCCCACTTCTTTACCAATGAAGACAAAATGTTCAAAAGTGATTTTGTATTCAACTCTGGAAAATAAGTATGGAAGTTTATCATACTAGACAAACCATTTACTTTGCAACTGAAACAAACATTGCTGAGCTCAAAAAAAAATGCCAAACATGTACATTATGATTCCCCAGCATTCCTTTCCTTGTCCCCTAAATGCCTTCTAGTTTCAAAGTAGGAATCACTCCACTATCTGGACACTCTCACCTTAACCACACATAGCATTTTTATGATTTTTACCTTTCACCCATGTTTACTTAAGCCCCATTTATAGTTAGAGTGTTTCTATAATGTTTTCTTCTACACATGCTTAGAAGTGCCCTACATTTTTGGAAAACCTAGAGTCAAAAATCAACTTTAAGCAGAGGTTTTAATCCCAGCAACAGCTTCTTCAAACCTGCCTGAGGCTCCCAACTCCCAAAGAGCTGGAATGCACAGGAGCTAGGTATGGAGATAAGGGCCAACCTTTAGCCCAGGACATAAAACAAAAACAAATTTTAAAGAATTCATTTTTTAAAAATGAAAACATTGGTACCCAAAGATGCCCATATCCCTGATCCACCTGAATGAGCAGCTACTTACAGAACCTTACTTTATGAACAAACAGCTGCTTCTTGCTAAATGGATGATGTCTCCTTTTAAATCCTTTTGAAGGAAAATACCATTGCAGAGAAGCAGAAAGCTTGAGTAGGAATACCAAGCCTGTGCTGCCCAGGATTTATGTTTTCTCTTCAGCGATGGATTACAGTGTAGATATGTGCCATGTGCTTAGCAGGTGTAAATGGCACATACATACACATTTTTTATTAAATTCTCTCCCATTTTTTTAAGGCAAAGCCTGTGTTACAAAGAGTTCTGTTCTACGCTGTTGTTTTTTTTTTTTTTTACAGAATCATGCTCTAACTTTCATGTTAAACTTTGGAATTCCACTGCAAAATAGTATGGTTCTAAAAGACTTAAGATTGTAGAAATATTTCTGCAAAAAATAAGCAAAAAAAAAAAAAAAGACTGCACAAATACTGAAGGTTCTGCTTAAATGGGTTACCAAGTAACTGAAGTTTTATCATGTTTACTATTTACTCCTACTTTTTGCAAGTGATTTCAGGAAAGGAGATAATTTTGCCAAAGTTTTTGAGCTTTTGTTCTATTTTTATTAATACCTACTTTTCTTAAGACTATTTTGAAGTGCTATGTAAAGTTTTCATTTTCTTTTTCACATACACTGGTTTTGCTTGAACATAGCTTCCCAGACTAATTGGATGAAAATTGCTTCAGATGCTAGAATTCTGGTCACTCAAACCTGTGAGGAAAAGCTCCTACTTAATCCTGCAGAGTCTCATCCCGAGTTCATGTGTAAGGTCTGCTGCTGACCTGGGCTGGCATCTGGGAAGTGAGAAGACTGTCAGAGCTTCACATTAGTAATTTTAGTACAGCACCAGCTCTCACACTCTTCTCCACTACACTGGTGGCTGTATTTCATAACCGGTTATTCCAGCTGTGAGAGTTCAGTGAGATGTTACAAGTTATTATCTTTCAAGTGTAGTTTTAAAATTTAATGTTTTCCTTCAAGACAGATCATAAATGTTTTCCACTGAGAGTTTAAAAGAACTATTCTAACTACTCCCCTTTGAAATAACAGATTTTTGCCTCGTCCAAATCTGACTTTTAAAAGTGGGCACAGTAGCTAAAATTATTTGAAATGATGAAAATTCAATGGCTTTACCCAAAACACTTTCATCATTGTATCTCTGAAGTACAAATAGCCTGGTGCATTTCTGTAAGAAGACATGCTGGAACAGAGAAAAATCTTGAGTTAGTCCATCTTCCTCACTGTTAACTACTCCAAAAAAATATCTAGTGTAGTCCTAAATATGTAATGACAAACAGCATCCTTAATATTATCTTAGAATCTCAGTTACAGTTGACTGACCTTCCTTTGTCCCAAATGAATATTTGGCCATAAGACCAAGCGCAACACAATAAAGTCCTCTTCTGACTTAGGCCATTCTTAAAGTTGACCTGCCCAGAGACAAGAGTCTGTCCCCACCATCAAGTGAGGGAAATAGTGACAAACATATTCAGCTAACAGTGAAGCTAAGTTTTCAGTTTCTGCATTGGTAATGCAACTGTGATGTGTAAGTCACAAAACAAGCTGTGTGTTGCCTCTACAAAGCACAAAAATGGAATTCTCATTTTGGTTTTCCAACAAAACACATTGACCAATAACAGACTTCCATCTCTCCCCATGCTTTCAGTGGACAACCAGGGAACACTGCTAGATGAACCAGTCTTTTTCTGCTTAAAATGTACTGAAGGGGAGATAACATACACACGTTTGCCCTTCTTATTGCAGCTTCAAAATTCAGAGAGCCAGTCCAAATCAGTTCTCTAGGACCAGGGACCAAATTACCTTTTTAAAGATTTTTGTAAACCAAAGCAAGTGGCAAACCTCCTTGATCACATCTTGTTTATATCATAGTCTAGTTTCACCACAGCCAGCCGCACCAGTCTCTGTAAAGATCACCATGCGAGGATAATATGCTGTGGACCTGTTATATAGTGTGCCTCCGGCATGCAGGTGCTTTTTCAAACCCCCAGAAACCAAGCATCACCCAGAATGCTTTCTGCCCAGTGATGTAGGAAAGCCCTGCTAGGGGAATCACAGAATCCCTGAGAACCTCAGGATGCAGCTGTGCAATAATACCTCTGAAAAGGATGTGGTAATATAGCAGGGATACTGTTTGATTCACTTCTGTTATCAAACAGTTCTTTACATATAGCAATAAGTACATATATGTCATACCATTACCAGATTATGAATCTTGGGTATCTTGGTACGTTTCCTTGAAGTAGCTAATTAGGAGAAGAAATTATGTGTGATGATTTCCTGCCAGCCAGTGTCATGTTGCGCCGGTTTCCTAAAAACAAATATACAAGCAGGAGTTTTCACTTCAGTTTAGTTGTGCTTTTATTTTTCCTGCCATAACCCAGACTTGTTATCCTAGTGGGCTTTTTGTAAGAAAAAAACTCACAACCTGGTTTCTCTGTGTACAGGTCAGTGGGTAGTTAGTACCATATAGCTCAAAGAAGAGAAAATGAACTTTCCAATTGACTTCTTTTTTATTTCTCCAGTGTGTATTTAGCATGAAAATAACATGATTTTCTTTAACCATATTTTAAGGACTTCTTGCGAAATATTCCAGGAAGCATTTTTTCATCAGATCTGTATGATCAGTGGGTTTGTGTAATGGATCAAGGAAATGATGAAGAGAAAATAAATACAGTCCAAAGGTAAGCATTCTAATTTTGTCATGTTTTCAATATAATTTCATACTTACAAAGACAAAATTGTCAAGATAAGGCCAGCTATCAAAGCCATATCCATGATGAGCAATTTAAAAATATTTAGGCCAGTTACTTGGTAACATGGAATTTTTAAAGCATTGAACACCTTCTGGGTGTTAGGCTAATAGATTCTAGCTCCTCTCAGGTTCTAACACCCTATCCCAATGTGCATTTTATAGCCTTAATTTTGGTAGATATTTAACTAAACAGACAACTACTTCTATGATTCATTCAGCAACTGAAATCATACCAAGAAAATCACCTATTCCCTTCCGTTAGGGAAATCTAAGTCTGATATATTCCAGAGTACATAAATAATAGACTTGGGCGCATAGCAGGGAGGGACACATCGGGCTCGTTGAGAAGCGTCAAAGGTGCTAAGTCTCAGATCACAAGAATGCATTATCTTCACTCAGCACAGGAGAAACTGCTGGGACAATTCTCTATGATTATCTCCTACGCTGTAAGACAATAGGAAAGGGGACCTATTCAAAAGAAAAGTAAAAAGTTGTACTTCCACTTCTATGAAAACTCATTAATGCAGTATCATGTGTGTACATGTGTTTGTTTCAGGTGGTTTTTTTCTTGGGCATCTTCAATAGATAAAGTACCTGTATGTTGATGACATATTTTATAGGTAGGAAAACATAGTAGAACCACTGAAGACACTGGAAATTAAAACTGACAAAATACCACCCCTATTTCAGTTATAGTTAGGTATGAGCCACACAGGGATAGCATTAACTTTTATACCTTATTGCTTGTTGCCCAAAAAATGTTATCTCTTATAAGTTGTTAGAACCTAAAACTGTTTTCTGAAGAAATTTGATTTATGACTCATGCAAATCGCAAATGCTAAAAGGAACTTTAGACACGAAATTGCCTTTCTTGATCAAGACAGAGCTACAGATGAATTAGTTATGCCTACCAGACAAAATCTCCCAGTCTACAGACATAAAATGCAGTATCCTCAGTGAACCGTAATTTACAACGTCTTGAGATCCTCTTAGAATCAGAGAACCTGAAAATACATGCTGGAAGGCTGATTTTCATCTGACTGTACCCAGTAAAATCTGGATCCCTTTTGAATGCCTTCATTATTAGTCTTAAAAAGCTGTCCACTCAGTGTCAGTCCAATGCACCAAAGAAAGACCTCTCTGTTATTTGTGTAACAAGAACCTCGTTAACTTATTTCCCCAGCCCGCTGTTACTGGGGGAAATAAAGCAACATTAATATGTACATATAAGTTTATATACTAATGAAAACAACTTCTGGAGAATAATTATTTGAAAATCTTGTCAATTTCCAATGAGTACAAAGGAAACTACAGTTCTAAATCTGACTTCTATTAAAAGTGGTAGAAATTAAACAGGTTTGAGGGGGGAAAAAAATGATCTTGAATCTAGTGTGGAGCAAAGCACAATTTCAGAATGGACTTGGAAGTCTTAACACTTCAGGCTGGGGTTATCACCAGGACAGAGCATTCCTCTATTGCTACTTGACAGTGAAAGAATTTTTTAACTGCTGTTTAATCTTATCAGAAAACTATTCCATAGGTTTTGAATCGTCATACTCTGAAATGTTCAAGAATTTGCCTAAGTGAAAACATATGGTAATAGTTTCAGAGATCCATCTCAGGCATGTGTTTTGGAAGAGGTTGTTCTGCTGCCTTTTGCGTTTTCATGGGATTTTAGTGACAGTCAACACAAAGGAGAAACAGCACTGAGGTTTTTCATCTTTCTGTCCAGGTGGTCCTGAAACTAAATATCTAAACTGTATTCTTGATTTTTGCCCTCTTGATTTGCATGGCTCTCCATGCATAGTGAGGGTTACCTGTCTTTACAAGTTTCTTCATGAAATATCTTGCTTAAAGACTGCATTTTTCTGTCTTTAGGCTATTAGACCAGCTTCCGAGAGCCAACGTTGTTCTCTTAAGGTATCTTTTTGGGGTATTGCACAATATTGAGCAACATTCCTCATCCAATCAGATGACTGCATTTAATTTAGCCGTGTGTATCGCTCCAAGCATTCTTTGGCCTCCCACTTCCTCCAGCCCAGAACTAGAAAATGAGTTTACAAAAAAGGTAATGAAGCTTTTCATTTTTATACCCTGGGGGACTGGGTTCCTAATATATAGAATTGCAGCTTCCAATTAATTCTGAAAGTTGATTTCTTAAAGAACTTAAACACACTGCCTAGTAAATCAGAATTTACCAGCTGTAGAGTGTCTTTTCCTGTTGGACTACACGGAGGTGATTAAGCAGAAAAGTGACAGCAATTGAATTGCTACACTTGTTCCCTTTGAGGAAGCCGAACAAAACATAAGTGCTATAAAACAAAATATAAGTAGTTGAAATGATTAGAAATGACTTTGGAGTTGAATGAACCTAGGTTCAGTTCTCAGCTCCACCACTTGTCAAGGGTGACAAAGTTACTGATTCACGTTGTCACCTTAAAAAAAAAAAAAGGACAAGGTGATAATACAGAAGTTACTGGAAATTATGCAATACATGGGTTAGAAAGGTGGCTCCCTTTGCTTCCCACATTCCATCTATGTCTTTGCTTCAACTGCTGGGACAAGGAAACTAGACAATTTCCAGTTCAACTCATTGCAGGCCAAAAGCTCCTAGCAAACCCCTCACCCTTCCACTGAACAACAAAGCAGTGTTTGGAGGAACCTCTCTGTTCTTTCTAGCTTAGGCTCTATCTTCTACATAAATTCATAGAAGAATCCTTTTTTCCAAACTTAAAACAAGATACCCTTGATGCAACAGGTGCTTTTTCCCAGTATTTAGTGAGACCTTATACATTTCACTATCATGGGTCTGGCAGTAAAGTGTATAGGCTTAAGTCTCTGCTTGCAATGCCCACATTCCTTAGGAGCACTAGTTTGAGGCCTGACTGCTCTACTTTGGATCTAGCTCCTTACTATTACACCCGGAAAAGCCGTGGAAAATGATCCAAGTAGTTGAGCTCCTACCACTTACTTGGGAAATCTGAAGGAGGTTCCTGGCTCCAGCCTGGCTTAACCCCTTACCTTGTAGCCCTTTAGAAAGTGGGCCGTTGGATGGCAGATGGATTTCTCAAATAATATACAATAAGTCATCAAAACTTAAAGTGTTTCTAAATCCCCAGACACCCAACGGAGAATATTTGAGACTGTTATCATTTTAAGGATATAAAATACCATAATATATTATTTTGAGCCCTGGCTCAATGCTATGTGTACTCCATTGATTAATATTCATTTCTTTGTCAATATTATTGTTAAATGTACCATAATTGCTTAAAAGCATACAAAATAGTTTCCCCAAACTGTATAAAAATTTCTCAAGGTAATTCCACACTTGTTAAAATCATGATTCATATATGAAAAGTGATTTCCAAACAAAGTTACCAATTTCACTTTTGTCCTTTGTTGTAGGTTTCCCTGCTTATACAGTTTCTGATCGAAAATTGCTGTAGAATATTTGGAGAAGAAATCTCTTCCCTCTTGGGAGAAGTTTCAGTGAGATGTGACACTAGAGAGAACACCTCAGGTACTGTGACTAATAGGATTGGTCTTATAAGGAATAAAAAACATGTCCATGCAGATGCTGGAGACAGCGGCTGCCCCGGAGCCCACACGACTGAGGTGAAGAAAGCTCTGAGCCTATCGGTCAGGCTAACAGTGTGGCAGAGTTAAGAAATACACAAGATGTCACTAGCGAAAGTATGTAATAGTGTGAATGCTTTGAATAATATTCTAAAGAATGTCTTATATATAAAAAAAAAAAAAAACAAGCCAGCAGAGCCAGACCAAAACCAGGCACTCCAATACGGTGTCTTAATTGCTTCGCCCAACACCATGCCACATGTGTAGTTTTTGCACAGATCAGCTGTCTTGTAGCCTGCTTTCTTTAGCTCACAAGACCACCTGTCCATTTCATCAGCTGCCCACTATTGAGCATTGCCTGGGTGAGCCAGAAAGGCTTTTTACTAACTATGACTCAAATAAGCATCTCTTCAAGGCCCAAACATAGTATCTGGTTATTTAGGACCTTTTTGGTATGGTCACTTTTGGAAGAAACAACCCAACAGTTGTTCAGAAGAATGTGTACCTTTTGAGATTTCTTTGTTATCTTGTAGCTACAAGCATGTTGTTCTGTACTACTACTTAAGAGATGAATAATCAGCAAACACATAATTTTGAGCTTGATTACTTGATTACTATGGTGACTGTCAAATCTCTTCACATTACATTCTTTCCTTATAATTAAGGCCAAAGCTATTGTTACTTGAAATAGTTGTTTAAAATTTTTCTCTAACAGTTAATAAAATGATTTAATAATGACAGTGAGAGTTGGCATTATCTGGATAATCCATTAAAATTTGTGAAATTTCTCTAAATCTATCCTCTCTTCTACATGTATTGGTCGACATTCGGCTGTGAAGTACAGCTTTTCCTTGTTTGTTGAGGATGTGTGGCTACCAGACATAGTACCAGAAAAAGGCAGGCTGTAGAGCTTAATCATTTGCTATTAACTACCCCTTTAAATAGTCGGTAGCTGATTTAATCCAAGTAAAAATTGTCACACTAAAAAACAATTTTGTGAGGAAATGAATTACTAGGTAACTTCAGAAAATTCATGGAAATTGAACTTTAAAATATGTGCTTCTGTGCTGACCATTGAGGTGCAGATGTCAGCCACCACCTAAGATACTCACACCCTAAATTTGATTGCCTGGTTCGAGTCCCAGCTAATTTGGCACTTCTGGTCCAGCTTCCTGCATATTTGTCTTAAGAGACAGTGGATGTTAGCCTAAGTGTTTGGCTTTCTGCCATCCATGTGGAAGATCTAGATGGAGTTCCTAGCTGTCTGACTTGCATCTGGCTACTGCAGGCATTTGAGGGGGGTGAACCAGTAAACAGAAACACTCTCCCTCTGCCTTTCCACAAGAAAGTTTTACAAGTATACATTTCTTATTAACTTTGTAAATAGAGATGCCCACACATATACAGGAAAGTTCATGGAAAATGAAATTAAAAGATTATTTCTTTGGGTACAAAAATACTTGAGATACAGGTATATAAGGATTCTCAAAAAAAACATGATAGATTTCATAAAAATGTTTTGCATCGAAATAAAAGATCAGTTTGATTCCCTTGTTTAATAGATCTACCACAATTGAAACTGGAGCAGGAGCCCCGAGACACTAGATGCAAGCCTGCTTTTTTTCCTTTCCTTTCTTTCAATAGTCCCTGAAACCATCACAATTCCAGTGTGCTTTCCAACAATCCAAAGAGAAACAGCATCATCTGGGTAGGGATACGGTGGGAATGTTGAATTCGAAGACACAGAATCCTTCCACAATATTATTTCCTTTATCAATTACTAGTTATGTCATCTTGGGCCAATTATTCTATCCCACCGTCTTCATCTATGAAATGTGGAGCGTAATAACACCTAACTTTTATGGTTCTTATAAAGTAGTAATTAAAGAAATTTGCCAAAGATAGACTGAAAGGGTTCGTAAATGATTACTACAAGATATTAAGTTCATTGCGTGTAACCACCAGCAACCCGTTAGGAAGCAGAGTCCTATTCAAAACCTGGCATTACTGCTTCATATTTTTCAAAATCATGTGATATGTTCATTGTTTTGAGGAAATCTTACATCCTATTTTTTTAGCAGCATAAAAGAACAAGATTATATTTTTGACTACTAGAAATATTAAACTTGTTTTTTTTTTTTGGACAGATATCTCTTGCTTCCAGCTCAATGACTCCTCCTATGACAGCTTAGAAAATGAGTTAAATGAGGATGTTGATGCCCCGTGCAGTGACTTGGTAAAGAAACTCGGCCAGGGCAGCAGAAGCATGGATTCTGTCTTAACCCTCAGTGACTATGACCTTGACCAGCCTGAGATGGAAGGCCTCTTAACCCTGAGTGACTTCGACTTAGAGCATTCTAAAGATGAAGATGTACAAATGAAACTCCCTGTCGAATCCAAGCTGGTGAACATTCCAGTTGTATACACGAAGATTCCACTACGTGGCCATGCCAGGGCGCCATCTGGCACAGGTACACCCAGCTCCCTGTCCACACCTGTGACAGGAGCTCCAAAAATCCTGAGACGACACCGGCGTTGTTCGGAGCCCAGCATCGACTACCTAGATTCCAAGCTTTCCTATCTCAGGGAATTCTATCAGAAAAAGTTACGGAAATCCAGCTGTGATGCCATTCTCTCCCAAAAGGATGAGGACTGTCTGAGGCACAATCAATCCCTCCAGGAAGGAGCCAAGATGTATTTTAAACAGAGTTCCGTCACAGGTAGTGACAGCAACAAAAAGAATGCCACTAATCAAAACACAAAGAAGAAAAGCTCATCTGGCCATGAAGGCAGTCACACAAAACTTTTCCCCAAGTCCAAGCCAATGGCCATTTCTGTGGCATCATGCAGCCATTTGTCCTCACACGATCATCCCAGCAACCAGCCCTTGGACGCAGACCTATCGGGGTATTCCCCACCTCACACAGCAGATGCCCTAAAGAGTTGCAGGACACACCGGCGCTGCTCAGAGCCCAACATCGACGACCAGAACTGCAAACTCACCTATCTCAGGGAGATTTATTCAAAGAAACAACATAAAACCAGCTGCAATGTTGGCCTCTTGCACAGAGAAGAAGATTATCTGAAACGGCATAAGTCTTTGCAAATGGAAGGGCAAAAACTTATTAATCAGAGTTTGGTCATGGGGATTGAGGTGGGCAAGAGCAGTGCAGCAAGCCAAAACCCAGAGAAGGTTCTACCCCCAAGGCTAAATCTCTGCCCCAGGACTAGCTATTCCAGCCTGTCCTCCCCAGGCACGTCCCCATCTGGCTCATCAGTGAGCTCCCAAGACAGCGCTTTTTCTCAGATTTCTGAACACTCTGTGTTTACACCCACTGAAACTTCCTCCCCAATAGATTGCACTTTTCAGTCTCAGAGGAAACAGGAAGACTTTTCTACTGACTTCAGTAGTTCCAACTTCATTTCTGGGATGCCCAGTTCCTCATCAGGACAGGCCGCCAGCCGCTTGCCCTATACAAAGAAGGACACGGTGGAGTGGCATTCACAGATGCACTCAGTAACTCTTCACCCCAGCACATGGCTGAGAAATGGTGTGGCGAGCCTGAAAAACTGGTCCCTCAAAAAGAAAGCAAAGGCAGCCAAACCAGAGGAGAAGAAACTCACTTGTGTGAAAGCATCCTCAGAGCCACCTCCACCTGCTTCTGGTATCTCAGAAGCTAACTCTCAGCCAGAGAGAGGTGTGACCCTAAGGGCAGCTGAAGGACTCGCAGCTGCACGGACAGCCCAGTGGTGTAGTTCTTACCCCTGCCAGGACTCAGAAAAATACTGTAGTTCATTCAGCCTGGTGGAAAGCAGACTCAAGCTTTGTCTAAAGTCCGACGAGGGAGGAGAGGATCTTGGCCAGTGCTCTCCTGGTCCTCAGCCCTGGGACAGAGCCTCATCCAGCACTGAGACTGTTACTGATACAGCCAGCCCAGAGTCAGGACTTCCAGTGGTTTGTGATGATGGGGACAGATACGTAATCAAAGACATGGAACCACAGTAACAATTGATGTCTACAAGACCACGAACTGGACTAATATCACAGTAATTACCGAGACCCCCTTTATACCGGAGATACTTGGAATAGGTAGCATATGGATCAGCCATTAAAGATACTTAGGTGATAAAATCTTTTTCCAAGTAGTCTCAACAAAGAGAAATATTCTGTGGTCCCAAGTGTTTGGGAGGCTGTTCCTCATTCACATGTGAGATTGGCCCTGTCATGTTTTCACAGATACTAGCATAATAGCTAGAGCAAGCTCTCTCTACAGGAAGCATGGCTTATGTGAACCGTCCTGGATTAGTGTCTTGAGAAAGCCAGGTTATCATAAATGAAGAATAGGGATCAGGGGAGAGATGGAAAAGGTACGGAGAAACCATTCACATTCCATGGAATGTTTACAGTAAGTAGGCAGGGGGGAAATGCCACTCATCAAAGCAAGAGAAGAAGCATATGTGGTAATGAAGGAAATCATGTATAAGCTTTCCCTGAGTCCAAGCCTGTGGCGTCTTAGTCACGTGTCCCTACCAGTTTATCCCAGGAACCAGTCCATAGAAGCAACTATACTAGAGAAAAGACTAATGTATCAAAAGCCATAGTCACCTTGCTGTCCTTGTTTTTTGTTGTTGGTTATGTGTGTGTTGCTTCGTTTTTCCATTAAGTGCTGATTGGGTTTTTCCTGCAGCTCAAGGACACAGCTGTGAGGAGAAAAACAGAGAGGTGGTTCCTTCACTTCAGTACCCTTTCCAAAGATGCCTGAGTTAGGAGCATTTGCCATTTCCCCAGGAGGAAAAGATGGCAAGAGCAGTGCTTTCTCAGCTACACGACCATTGCTCCCAACCGGCTCCAAGCACGGCTCCCTCGAGCTGAATTGTTTCCTGCAGCCCTGCCTCTTCCCGATTGAAGTCAGCCAGGAAAATTACTCATAAGCCATTCTTGACTTGGATTTTTGTAGTATGGCCATTGAGAAAAATTTAGAAATTGGCAGATTATAATGAGTCACAGGATAGAATATGCAACCAAGTGCCTGCCAGGCCTTCGCAGTCTTTGGATTTTCTTACTAACAGAAGATTTTTCCATATTTTTCCATGAATCATGATTGTATTGATGGCTCTAGAGAATTTTTTACATTTGTGTTTGCACTTGTTTTTTACACCCATGGATCTTTTGTCTTAAAAGCGTATGCCAGTAAATCTCTCATGGGAATAATCAGTTTGAAGGGGGCAGCACTGAAGACAGCTGTGTATCAGAGTCCAGCCTATTTTTTCCTCTTTAGTCCATCATCATCAAGGAAACATTTTCTCTCACAAACTAATCCCTAATTTTTACTTTCTTATAAATCATCAGAAATGTGTGACATCACCTGCCCTGCCTCGGCCCATTTTCATTGTGGGGAAAAAATAAATATCAGCTATAGGTGTTACCTACCTCTTGCGGAACCTGGCCCTGTTTGCCCTAGTAGTTATAATTAACTTTCAGAACTCTGTGTATAAGCAGCTCCTTTCATGACACTAGCCAGCTCAGTCACAGATGTGAAGTAGATTTCATCTTCTAAGCAGCCACTCCACAGTGAGGCTCCTGAGTGTCCAGGCACATGGTGAAATGACACCGAAAGAAGGCAGGGACTCCCCTTCCCCTTAGGCATACTACTGTCGGAACTGCAAGATGTGAATGAAATTCTTAATGCTTGGATCGTCTTTTTCTAGAAGAAATGACTTCTCTTACCAGAATAATCGGTTTAGCCCCTTTCCTTTCCTGTTGGCCAATACAGAATTCACCCAATCTGAAGTACAGAATGCTTGCCACAGTCCTTTCATGATCATTCCTATTCTGTGTCCCTTTAGATGTTCCTATAATAATTAATGTGAATAGTTTGTTAATATTGCTGTAAAGTATATTGTATGATTCAAAGACAGAATCTACATGCCATTTTATTATACTCCATCAATCTATAATATATTAGACTGATGCTTTATCTAAAATGCTTTGAGTTTGTATAATATATCTTGACAAATTTTATTATCATATGTTATGTAATAAATGTGTATTTTTGTACTTGCAGAAACTGCTGCTAACTTTTAAAGTGGTTTGGTTTTCAAGGCACTGATATTGGATACATATGAAGTCCATGCTATCTGTTAAATAAAATGCAGCATTAACAATCCTGCCAGTGCAGTATTGCCCTTTGGAAAGTAATTTTAGACAATGAGCCCCGTCTCTGCTCAACACTGGACATGTCATACAGTAATTAATATTTGAACAGGAACTTCGAACTTTCAGCCATAAACCACACTCTAAGAAACAGATGTGGCTGGCTTTATTCAGGGGTGGGTAGGATAGGGAGAGATTACCTAAACTTGTTGCCAAAAAAGAAATCCTGTTTTAAGCACAAAATCTTCATTTTCTTGGGCACTAGGTTTTCACTACACTTCTGGAATGAGACAAAGTCTATGTTCTAACACCAAAATATCATTGGTTCACTCTGACTGCTGAGATCTTATCCTAGTCTGTACCTTTCTCACCTTGAACACCCATTTGTCCCCAAGCCTGTGACATCAGTGTTTCTAGTTCGCGCCAACACACTCTCACTGACTCCTCATGCCGACTGCATCTTTGCCTTCTCAAAGTTCACTGGGGATTTCCCTCTGTGAATTTCACCATCAGCTCAAAGTCCAGAAAAATGATTTGCTCTTACTAATCAGTGAAGACAACAACTCCAGAACTCTTATTTCCTTACATTGGGAAATGTACACATACGTGGACGTGAATTTCTCTAAATTTTACAAAAAATTTATAATTTTGATTGTAATAAAGTTAACCTATTAAAAACATTAAAGAAATTATCTCCTTTATGTTTTTCTAACTTCTCATGACATGACATGGAACACAAAGAATCTACTTTGTCTTTGAACCCATAGCAGAGGTATTTATGGGGATTTTTTTTCTGTTGAAAAAAAAGTTCTTAGAGCATTACATACCTTGCTGTTAAAACCAAGATCTGGCAGGGAAGCAGGAATTTAAATTTGATATCCTCCTAAACTCTCCATTTCAAGGCTAAGAAAAATTACCAAGGTAGACTTAGTAAGTATTTTGTTCCCTGAAAAACAAAGTTGGATAAAATGTTCACTTTAATATCTACTCTACCCATAAAGATTTCCCATAAGCTAAATGTCCTGCTGAAAGCGACAGTACTCAAGCTGTGTGCTGGCCTCTCTGTGTCAGGCCCCTGCCCTGGGCCTGCACCACCTCCAGGTTGCATCCAGAGGTTATTGGATTGTTCAGGGTTTCTTTCCTCATACGATGAGCTCCTAAAGCCTCAGTTCTGTGTAATATCAATTGTTACAGGAGAACTGACAAAAGGGTCAAGGTGAAAGGCAGAAAATTCTGCTTTGAAAACTCAAAGATGTACAAAAGATGAGATTAGATAAAGATTCTTTAAATATGCTGTGATGCTGCAGACAAACTTTTTATTTTTATTATAAAGACAGATTAATGGGATAGAAGAGAGACAAAGATCTTCCATCTGCTGGTTCACCCCTCCCAAATGATCACAACAGCAAGAGTTAAGCTGAGCTGATCCAAAGCCAGGAGCTTCTGGATCGCCCATGTGGGTGCAGGGCCCCAAGGCTTTGGGTCATCCTCCACTGCTTTCCCAAGCCATCAGCAGGGAACTGGATGAGAAGTGGAGCAGCCAAGACATGAAGCAGTACACATAGGGGATCCTGGAGCTTGCAAGGGGAGAATTAGCCAATTGTGCCATCACACTGGGTCCAATATATATGCATTTTAGATCATTCTAGTTTAATTACATGTAGTAAGTAAGATGCAGGTTTCAGAGACATTAAAATTTCAATGCAGATTGCTTTAATTTTGATTTAATGTCATTATAGTAACTTGGAATTTAATTTAGAACTTTGAGATCAGCATTGTGGTAATATGGGTCAAGCCACTTCTTGGAACATTCATATCCTATAACAGAGTTGCAGTTCAAGTCTTGTCTACATGACTCTCAATCCAGCCTGGGTATCAGCTTCAGATGTCTCAGAGACTCGAGTCCCTGCCAGCCGCATGGGAGACCTGGATGGAGCTCCTGGCTCCAGTCAGAAGCAGCCCCAGCTGTTTATATGCAGGACCAACAGATGGAAGATCACTCCCGTGTGTGTATGCTTGTTGCGCGCTCTCCCATACTCACAGCAAATAATTAATATAAATTTCTGAAAAACATTGGAACTTTTTAGCCTCTTCATCTGCTAACAGGAGTGAATGAATCAGCTGCAAATGTTTGTCTCATTACTCTAGGCAAACAAAGCGAGTAAAGAAACAACCTATTTCTCCCAGATCACAGTGGCTGTTGCTGCCTAATATTTTTAGAAGGCAAGGAAATTTGTCTTCACTCAAGAATAGGATGGCTAATGTCACAGCAGTAAGAAGAAAGCCTTTCGATGAGCCCATTCAGGAAAGAAACAATCACAATTTGGAAAAAAAATATAAAAAATGGAAATAGCATTGCTAAGGAAAAAAATGGAAGAATTAATATGCTAAAATACCAATCAAGTGTGGTTTGATTGCCAAATTCATTCCATACCCCCAGTAACAAGGTGGGAAAAGTTGCAGCATTCAGGGACTTAGAACAAGGGGGAAACTGGACTAGACTGTACTGGAAAAGGAAGATCAGCATTTAAGGAGCACTTACTGTTGTCTGTGTGAATTAGCAATAAATGCATTACCTGCCATCTTCACAGCAGCACTTGTGTCATGGGTACACTGAAGCAGAATCTCATTCCAACCTCAAGACTTCTACCCTTTCTCATGAAAAACAGTTAACAATACTTTCATATGGAAGCAAAAACTATGTGAGAAATAATCTCACCTACATTCAATCATTATGTCTAGACTGGATATGTCCAGCTTTACAAAAACTACCCAGAAACCATTTGGAAAGCTTCAGGGAATGTAAAATAATTGAACTGAGAAATGGGTCCAGACAACATAACACATACTCC